ATGTTCAAAGTCCATGTGAATAACCGCTTCCACAAACACTTCGTGAAAAAGAAAATGCATTTCTTGAGTGCAATATTAATAGCATTGATCTTCTTTTCATCCAATAAAATCACCAACGTGAACAGACCACCACTGTATGTGTAAAATGGAAGCTTACCAGATGAGAAGACCCCTTGTTATAGGGGGTCTAATAAGTCTCTATATAGATGGTGGACAGCGCGATGACATCGGAGGCTCCGCCCAACAATGTAATTATTTCCCTCAGTCCCGTGTATATGGCTAAAATGGACTCCATTTCAAATCGAGGCTTGGTCCGAGAAATGTTTGTTTCCAGTTCCTATATATAGTTGAAGTTGGCTCTGTTCCAAATCGAGGCTTGTTCTTTATGCGCAATGACAGAGGATGGTTCCCTAGCCCCGGAAGATTTCTGTTAATGATGAAATGCGTCGGGCGGAGCCTCCCTCTGACGTCATCTCGCTGTCCGCCATTTTGGAAGCTGTATTTGCTGATAATCCTTCTATGTTTTGTAAGTAGAATTTTGCTTGCGCATTAAAGGCCCTTAGCTTTTACTACACTATGAGAGGCATGTTTAATTTTACATGACACTGTCTTGCTTCTGATGTGGGAATGGCTTAAATGGAATCTGGGTCCCGGTTGCAACATAGAGGTTCGGACGGCGTTACATTTATATAGAGCCTCATTAGACCCCCTATAACAAGGGGTCTTCTCATCTGGTAAGCCTCCATTTGACACATATAGTGGTGGTCCATTCATTTTGTTAATTTATTGGATGAAAAGAATATCAATACTATTAATATTGCACTTAAATGCATGTTCTTTTTCACGAAGTGTTTGTGGAAGCTGTCATTCATGTGGACTTTGAACCAGCAGCAGACTGACCATTTGGAAACTCGGGCACTGCCCGAGGGCCCGGGGTCAGTAGGGGGCCCCATAAGATGCCCCTGGTACCTTTTTCATAGGCTTTTTTGAGTTTGGGCTAGGACACAGGGGCCCCATGATCCCCTAGTGCCCAGGGCCCCGTGAGTTGTCAGCCTACCCCTGCTTTGAACATTGTATTGTTCCTTATATGGATCCTATATGATATCACTTATAGGCATTAATTTGCACATTGTACTGTGTATGTTGTTCACATGATTAATTTTTAATACAATCTCTTTCTTTCACACTTAGCACAACATTTAATTGCTATTTATAACATTACCAGCATGGAGCTCTAGTGAGTTCATTCAATTTGTTCGGTGGAATTTGAATGGTTTAACATAGTGATATTTACTTGATGGACACATAGTCACTTATGTTTTAGTGGTTATGGATATATGATATATATTTGATGAGATATAATATTTGTTACACTTTGTTATACATATACATTTTTTATTTTATTGTTATTTTTCACATATTGGTTTTTTGGCACATTAAGATTGTGTTGCTTAGATATGGTCTGCATTTGGATGCGATTATACCCCATTCTGAGGAGCGCTTGTCTAAATAGATTTGCACTATATTACTCTTGGTTTCCAAGTATTAAAGAGCTGCTCCTACCTTCCCTTTTATTTTATAGTGTTACATATGTCCATTGGCGCCATCCAATAGTAAGATATACATAATTGTTTAAATGTAGCTGAGGAAACCTTGCTTGGATTGCTTTGGTGTTGCAAATAGAGGAGTCACACTCATATCAACTGTACATGCACAATTTTTATTGCTATCAGTTCTGCAACCTACACACGGACGGTCTTACACAAAGATATCACACACCATGAGTTACTGACAGTAGCATCAATTAGTAGCTATTAGAGGAAGAACTACTTAAAAGCATGGTAGCATGATTTACAATACAGAGACAAGGGAAGGGGAGTAACACACCTCCCTAATATTAATGAAGATTAAGTGCCAACATCCTCTACAGCCTTGTGCAAAGTGCAAACATCATAAAACATGAACACAAGTCATATAAACACTTGCTCTGCCAGCTTTCAGTTTAGTTTATGATTGGGAAGGGTTAGAACTTTTCTCCTTCCCTTTGAATGAACAGACAAGAGAAAATCTCTTCCCATAGGCAAAGTAGAGACGACTAGGGCGGAGAAGGGTTAGCACCAGGGGCGGACTGACCATTCGAGCACTCGGGCACTGGGCCTGGGGTCAGTAGGGGGCCCCATGAAATGCCCCTGGTACCTTTTTTATAGGCTTTTTTGAGTGTGGGCAAGGACTTAGGGGCCCCATGATCCCCTATTGCCCGGGGGCCCCATGAGTTGTCAGTCCGCCCCTGGTTATCACCTCTGTCAAATTATAATTTACTGCTTGTATTCCCATTGTGGAGATTTTGCCTCATGCACGCTGGACATTTTTACAGCAGATATTTTTGGCTTTTGTCATTTTTTTCTACGGCTAGTAAACTCCCCAGCATGTTATCCTATGTGTCCATGCACACATAGACTGAAATCAACGTTTTTTGGCAGGGATGTTTTTTGGCTGGAAAAAAAAACCTAGGACTAGTGGGTTTCTAGAGTTTTTTTTTGTTAGCTGTAAAAATGCTCTAATGCTGTAAAAACACCCTAAACCGGTGTTTTTGGACCTTTTTTGACCCCAAAAAAATGCAAATACGGGAAAACTCCGCTGGGCAGCACAGTAGCTAAATGGTTAGCACTTCCACCTGGCAGTATAAGGTTGTTGGTTTGAATCCCAGCCACGGCACCACCTGCCTGGAGTTTGTATGTTCTCCCTGTGCCTGTGTGAGTTTCCAGGTACTCCGGTTTCCTCCGACACTCCAAAGACATGCTGGTAGGTTAATTGGATGCTGTCCAAATTGTCCCTAGTATGTGTATGTATGAATGTAAGTTAGGGACCTTAGATTGTTCACCCCTAGAGGATTAGGGACTGATGTGAATGTATAATATATATATGTAAAGCGCTGCATAAATTGATGGCGCTATATAAATACCTGAAATAAATAAATAGGTAAACACTAATGCAAAAACGCTAAAAAAAGCTGAAAAAAACTCAAGTTTTTTTAACGTGACTTTACACCGCACATAATTTACCAGCATTATCAAAATGCCCCGTGTGGATGGAGCCTTAGTGTTAGCCAGACATAACAGGAAGTGAGGGATTACCTCTTCAATGGAGATGCACAGCATTTAGGCCTCATGCACACAGGGTGTTTTTGCAGCCTCTTTTAGGGGAGTCAGGCGTTTGTTTTGTTTGTTTTTTTTTTTCTTTTTTACTGCTTCCAAATGGCCCTCCATCTTATCCTAAGTGTCCATGCGCACATAGACTTTTAGAAGCTTTTAGCTGCAGGGAAAAAAAACATGCCAGCGCGTCCAGGAGCAGCAGTGTTTTGGCACAAAAAATGCTTAACGTGACTAAACGCATTTAAAAGCGTGTTAATGCTAGGCGCGTTTAGCGCTTGAGCTTGAATTAATTTCAGTGGCCAGAATAAATTATTATTCTTGCCAATGAAATGAATTAACACCCAAGCACTTGATGCTTGGAAAAGTGTTAAATATATTTACAAACGTCAGATGTTTTTTCTGCAAAAATGCTGCTGCCAGGAGGAAGGCTTATAGGAGGTGTTTTGTTTTATTTTTTGTTTGTTTTTTTCTTATTTTGTTTTGTTTTTTTATAACATCCTGTGTGAATGGGGTCTTAAAATCTGATGGTGGTACCAACCCTTACATAGTATATCGGGACAAAGTAGTGTTTCTCACCAACGAAGGAAAAGAACACCAGGCAGCACAGTGGCTAAATGCTTAGCACTTCCACCTGGCAGTACTAGGGTCGTTGGTTCGAATCCCAACCATGACATGCTGGTAGGTGAATTGGATCCTGTCTAAATTGGCCCTAGTATGTGTATGTATGAATGTGAGTTAGGGACCTTAGATTGTACACCCCTTGAGGGTTAGGGACTGATATGAATGTACAATATATATGTAAAGTGCTGTGTAAATTGACAGCGCTATAGAAGTACCTGAAATAAATAAAATAAACACCAGTTTAATTTGTGCCTCTAAATGCCTTGGTTATGTGTAGTAGGTGAGTTTATGATCACCTAGGAAGGTGTAGTCTCTAAAAATCCATTTGCACACATGTACAGGAGATCACACTGTGCTTCAATGACATGAGCATTGTACGCACCATATGCTGATGTCTATAAACTACATCTGTGGTGGTCCCCTCTGGCATTCAGGCCTAGCCCAGACCAGGTAATATAGAGATCTGTCTACGTACTCCACTCTCCTGACCAGGGGAGACTGACAACTCATGGGGCCCCCGGGCAATAGGGGATCATGGGGCCCCTGTGTCCTTGCCCAAACTCAAAAAAGCCTATGAAAAAGGTACCAGGGGCATCTCAAGGGGCCCACTACTGACCTCGGGCAGTGCCCAAGTTTCCAAATGGTCAGTCCACCCCTGCTCCTGACTAAATCCTAATGAAATTGCCTTTGTAAAGATATCAATGTTTGCCCTGATTTAACTGTTTTAGGTGAAAACAGCCATAGAGTGCACTTAAATTTTTATTGCATGACGAATACAAAGGACTGCTCCCTACCTAGAGACCTTTGGTCAAAGTGGGCCGCAAAATAAGAGTGGCCTACAAGAGCATGCATCTGAAATTGGATCCTAAAACAAATTCAAGAAAATTCCTAATAAAAAAAAAAAAATTTATATAGCTGCAAACTGTAAACCTATTTCAAGGTAATTTTTTTTACATAGCTTTTAGTTTTATTTATGACTGCTATTGGTTTTCAGATGACAAATAGTTTGCAAATATAGCTAAAATATGTTGAACGGAAAATGTGAAAAATATTCTCATGATAATGTGCCATACCTGTCAGTGTATTTTATTGCACAGTTCTCTTCTGCATGCTTAATTCTCTAAGCCTGTGTAATAAATATGAAAACAATGTGACATGTTTGTACTTGGGGTTTATATATGGCTAAGTGAGTGAATATTTTACCTTTTCTTACCATAGATGCCTTACCTTCTGCCGAAGATGAAGATGATGACGACGATAATTCTTCTTCAGAAGAGAAGGCAACAGAGAACTCTAAACCCAATCGTAAGTAAACATATGATATTTCATTCATGTACATCAAAAATCCCTATTACATGATTTGATACAGTGACCAGCTATTCATCATTTAGTCGTAAATCATCCCAGAATGTAATATACTGTATGTTTCCTCTGGCTCCCACAATTGCGGATAAATATATGGATGTGCACCTATTACTATTTGGCCACCTAAGGGGTCAAGTCATTTCACAAGCATGTTGGCTAATGTTTTTTTTTTTTTTTTTTCTTCTTTTTAAGATAGCACTACCTTCTGGCTGGTTTTAAAGTTTGCATGTGGGCAAAAAAAAGAAAAAACAATATCCGTATATATCTGCAATACTTACAAAATGTTTATTCCTTAAAATTGCTGCACGTACCTGCAAAAAGTAAAGAGCCCCTTGCCACAGTCCTTCTTTTTTTTTTTTTTTTTTTTTTTTTTTTTTTTTTTCTTTAAGCTGCCAGCCAGTTGTGACAAATGTAAATCACTTACTGTGTGTACATCTCAATAGGAGGCGCTATTACAAGCATCTTATTATATATGAATAAAAATTAAATATACTCAATTTATTGGAATTCAGTGCAATTCTACAATCCCAATATTAAAGTAGATTAAAAAATTAACAAGTGAAATATAAACAAATATGGAAATGAAAAATATGCATAGTGTCCATAGATATACAATCTTAGTGAAATGAGTTGCTTGCTCCTAATATTCCTTCACCACACAGTATCCATGCTTCACCCATTGAGAAAACAATGCTTAAAACACTCACCAGATGAATATGACCTCTTTAGTTAAAAAGAAGGTCTAGTGCGCTTGTTTGTCCAATCAGGATATAGAATTTCCCAGGTGGTATGGTAACTCAGATATATCTTCTTATTCACTTTATCATCCCACATCATCTATGCCCCTGCATTGGCATAGATGAATGAGCTAGATGTATTGATGCTGGTGCAGCTACTCCGTACAACCCTGCAGCAGCGTGCGTTCCATTGACTGGAAATAGCATGACCTGAACTTGGCAACCAGAACTTGGCAACTCCTTGAATGCGTTTTTGCCACTCTGCTTCCTGATGACTTCAGAGTGTCCAAAACACGTTCTAGTAAGAACATCCAGTTGCCGACTTCCTGGTCATGCCACTTCCAGTCACTGTAATGCACGCTGGTTCGATGGCCTTTTTAAAATGGAACTGAAAGGCAAAATATTTTGTGTACATATAAAAACATTATAAATGCCTTTTTCCCCTTTTTATAAGTTCTAATATTCCATCAGTTCCCAGTTTCATAAGGATCTCAGGGAGGAAAAACGGCAGCACACTGATCTTCCCATTGAATGGCTGTGCAGAGGGAGGGGTGTCAGGAAAAGTCTAATCATTGGAGGAGTGCAGATTGAGTTCTTAGCACAGCTAGAAAAATGACCACTGTACTTTCATGCCCAATGTAGTCAGTTTTTAATATGAAAGCAGAGGGACTGGCAGGAACACCAGGGATTTCACACAAAGGATGCAATACAAAGTGAACACAATAATTTTTAATACAGTTCATGATACAGCAGGCACATATCAAGAATTTGAAATGTATTTACATATTCTTTAAGTTGGCATCGCTGAGAGCCTGAGCCAGCCTCTCCTGGCCACTCTCCAGTCAGGCACTCCAGTGAATGCTGAAGGGACAGAGCCAGTGACTGACAGTGACCGCTCTGTACTGACAGCAGACCCAAGAACATCAGCTGTCTTTGATTAAGTCTTTGACGGTGTAGAGCCAGAGAGGGACAGCTTTAGCATTAGACTGATGCTGCAGCCATCTAGGTGAGTATGTAGGCTTCCTTTTTTTTTTTTTTTTTTTTTTTTTTTTTTTTTTTTTTTTACATTTTTGCATTTCTCTTTTAATACTGCTTTAACTACTGAGGATCTGAGAACGGCAGCTTTTCCAAGGACTATGAACCTTTCTACACCTGGGTATGAAACAGAGAATTGGGAGCCTGTGTACACTATTATGATAATGAAAGTATTCAACACCCATGACTTAAAACTACATTTTTTCCACTTTTCCTTAAGGGCTTTGCATGATGCCCACATTGTACATTTTCAGTTAAAAACTTTGTGTCTGGAAGCTAAATGATGTTTGCTCCTGCAGGGAATCCTTTTCCCACAAATCATCATGATTTCAAAGTTATCTATACATGGCAGACCAGTGCACCTGACACTTGGCCGCTGGTGATTTCTGATTTGAAATAGTTCCATATCCATTGCCAGATATGGGTAATGGGTGCATATAGTGACCATATATTTTGTGTGGCAGCCAAGAAAGATAGTCATACCAAAAAAGCATACACATATTAGTGCAGTACTCTTCCCATCAGATTCCTTCATCGTGAGTTTTTAATATCTGAGCAGACGCTTGCTTGCCTTGAAAGTTGGAGACCCATATATGGCCAACTGTTGGCAGCAAAAGACCTAGAATGACCTTTCTTTACTGCATTTCAAAAGAAGCAATGGCTACACGTGACTGTAGATGATAATATATAATTATCTATTGGTAATAGCTTCCTTTGGCATTAAGCTGTGTTTAACCGAGAACCTTTTCTTTAACAAAACAAAACCTGAGATCCAGACACAGGAAGACATCCAGAAGTAATCTCTACTTAAAGATTTAATACAAGCATCCTTGACATTTCTAATCATAAACCAGAGAAACGAAAGCGGTCTTTTGTGACACCCACTTAAACAAAAACCCCTTCTCTTTCAGCCAGCACCGATTGGCCACTTAGACATCACAAAAGACTCACTTAGTTTTGGGAAACAATAGTATATTGGTTATTATGTGATCATTATGTTCCCACTTGAACTGACTTTCCTATTTTCGCTATGTTCCCACTTCAGCTGTTTTTTGTATTATTGGAAACATCAGAGGAGTCCTACAGAGTTAAAAAAAAACAAAAATTTGTTCTGGTATTGTAGTTTTCTAAGATAGAAATAGATGCACGTTAGATTCTCAGTGACATTAAAAGTCTGTGTGAATATATCCCTGATGTCACAAACTACAAACAAACTTTTTGTCTAACGTTAGAGCAGATTTAGCTTCAGCCAAGTAACTGTGCCTAGGAACAGTCTCGCAGTATGTCTTAACAACCAGGAAACATTGGGGTGCATTCACGCATGTGAATGCACCCGAGCCCCGATTTTGAAGGACGTACTCCAGCAGGGATTCTGATTATGGGAGGCTAGCAGCTCTCGCAACTAATAGCAGCCAATCACATGTACTCGCTCATGCAGTGATCACATGCAAGTGATTGGCGTTGGACCCAGACTGTCTTCATCCAGGGCAAATCACTTGCATGTGATTACTGCATGAGTAATTACATACAAATGGCCATGATTGCTTTCAATGGGACTGCCTCTCGCAGCTAATTGTGGGAACCCACACTGGGGTATCGCATACGTATATTTGGAGGCAGGGTGCATTTGCAGGTATGAATGCAGCCTTAAGAAATAAGGGAAATAAAAATGTGTTGCACTAGACAGAAACAATCATAGTGCAGAAATATACATTAAATACATAATACAATATACAAAAAAACTTACAGTGAAAAGTTAAGTTAAATGAGTCCACAAACCGTCCCATCCAAGGATGTGCAAGAAAGTGAAGCCACGCCTCTTTCCGAAATCTTATATATGTAATCGAGTACTTGCTTACCAACTTCCCATGACCCACTTAGACTTAAGAGTCATAGAGCGCTTATGCAATCTCTCAGGACATCTGAGTCCCCTTCCAAGCTGCCTGGGTGTATCGCCCAGGAACACCATCAATAAGGTAGGTATATGCATATTTTCCACATTAAAATTCATGTAAGGCAAGAAATAGAGAGCCTGTCCATAGTTTAAAAACCTTTTCAAATAATTTATTATAACCAAGAAATACACTCACATAAGTAAAAACACGTGTCTGTACATATAGTTACTGGACCGGCATCAGAATCCACTTCCTAGAATTCTTCCAGGAAATGTGTCTAAGGAAATTGCTTCTTCCTGTCTGCAGTAGACTGTCATGCCCAGTGATCACTGAGACTATACATTGTGACTTTATTAGGCTACATGTACAGTAAGCTCCCTTGGACGCCAAGCTCTCATCAGCTGAGAAATGCTAAACGTGGCTAAAACACATATACACGTTTTTGCAACGTTTCACGCTTTTTGGCCATAATGTTCCTCTTCTGAATGTGATTATTCTGCGTTCAGGAGAGGGATGTTTAACTTGCCCTAAAAGCTGCTGCTAAATTCTGATAAAAGCCTGTATGTGTATGGGCACATAGGCTTTTACTGAGCTGAGTTTACGGGCTTTTTTTTTTTTTTTTTTTTATGCCAAACGCTCCTAAACTCGCGTTTAGGAGCAGCAGTGTACATGAGGCCTTAAAGTCACAGAGTGAAGGTAAGCAATAGTGTATGCACTTTGTGAGACAATTTCTTTTCTATGTTTTCACTTTGAAACAAGCCTGTCAGTGTGCTGATGACGTGTTTCATTTATGTCGTGCAATCAGTCCCCACAAAGCTACTTCTCTTAGCTGCTTGTCCTGTCATGGCTTCTACAGCAATAACATGCACATTTTAGAGCCAGGAGCCCTGAATTGTGGGGATGTTGAGGGTCCTACACCAAGAGTACCAAAGGAGTTTGGAATAAGGTGAGCATTGCTTGGAGTTCAGCTTTAAACATCCAGTTTAGTCTACTGAATTTTCTGTCCATTCGCCATACTAAGTACCAATTTTCTTGTGGCACACAAAGTATTTTAAGGCCCTGTTAACATGGGGAGATTAGCTACATAACCCACGCAGGACAGTCTTTTACCACGTGTCCCTGAATGCACTCTGGGTACCTTTTTGGAGCTATGCACCCTTACGAATGTGCATTTAGCCTCGTGTCCCAGTAGACATCTATGGGACTCTGGCTCGGAGATGCACGCAACACCTGTGTATCTGTGTGCCAGTAAAAGACAGCCTTACATAGGGTGCATAGCTCATTTCCCAGTGTGAATGGGGCCTGAGGCTGCATGCTTCAAAATATTGCTTTATTCTAGAAAATTGTTGACAACAGGTCAACTTTACCAATGTGACACATGCTTCTGGGTATTGCTGGCAAATGTTTAAATCTACAACAAAAGGTCAGAATAACTGACTGAGGCATAGCAATATTTTCCTAAAAACCATTCTGTGGAGAAACGTCAGAACAGACCTTTGTGTAAGAGCTCGTCTGTGTTATACAAATTTATATTCCCAGAATCGTTCAACCGCCCCCCTACATTCATCCGTTTTAATGTCAAGCAGCCACATGATCTCCCTTTCTCCCATTAACAGTTCACATTTAAACAACACATACCTTAAATTCCTGTGGGATTCCTCCAGCCCCATGCAATCCTAATTGAGTAAAGATCCCAGTACACCATTAACACTTGCAGTGCTAGGAAAGATTTGTGTGAGCAGAAGGTCATAACTTTGCTTGAAAAGAAAACACCTAGTCCAAAAATTGTTTGAATTGGGTGGAGTTTATTCTTTTTGTACTTGGCAATAAATTGAAGAACCGTAGTGGTTCAAATTTCACATACAATGCAAAAAGAAAACTACCCATATACAGTATAGTCACTGTAAAGGCTAAGTCCACCCAAAAAGATGTTTATTTTTGGGTGATTACTATGGTCTTGTTTACAAGATATCCTCATCAGGCTTACTAGATCTCTCTTCAAACCATGGCACAATGAAGCCATAAAAAGATGTTTTTGTTTTTTTACTTTCTGATGTTTATGGGAAATAAATCCATGTTTTTATATTGAAAATATTTGCCTCTTTTCTTTTCACAGGACCGTATTGGGCAAACCCGGAAAAGATGGAGAAGAAATTACATGCTGTACCGGCAGCCAAAACCGTGAAGTTCAGGTGTCCGGCAGGCGGGACACCTACACCCACACTACGCTGGCTAAAGAACGGCAAAGAGTTCAAACCAGATCACCGCATCGGTGGTTATAAGGTACAGATTGTCTTTGAAACACATGACTTGATGCATTATGGGTTACAGAATTTAGAATGTAATTTGTAATGCAAGCTGACAGCTACTATTGCTCAGCAAGGGCAGGTTTTTGGAGCTTACACCAGCCATATCACAAATTGATCTCAATCTGAGAGGCTCTATCCCTTCTTACATAATTATTACTAGGACAAGTGAAACAAGAATATACAACTTAAGGTAGGATGCTTTCTACTTTCTTTACAGATCTTCTGTTGACTGCAGAGGAAAAGGAGAGGCAACAAGGAGTCTTTGGATTCCTCTCAGCAGTACCCTTGCTCTATTTCCACTTCACCTCTCTGTCTAAATTTACCCAGCATAGTCTAGCAGTGATTGGACAAGACAAATGAAAATGTCAGGTTGCACATGTGGGTTTTTGTTGCCACCTAAGACCCTGCTGCCATAGGCCCTTGATTGTCTTGTGATAAATAGGGCCATACGGCTCAAGCTAGCCCCTAGGGTGGCTGGATTTCTATCACTTTTGGTCATACTTGATTATAGCTTTATTTGAAAAAAGAGAAGGGAAGTGCATCACTCTGAATTAGTCAACCAGCTTACAGTATATACTTGAATGTAACAAAGAAGTAGTAAAACACAATCGGAAGCAGAGCCTATGTAAGTAATGAACAAATATAGCTGCACCCAGATAAATATTTCAAATGTATGTAAACCCTGGCAATGAACTTCTCTAACTTACTCCCTTTTGGTCTATTTAAATATTTATTAGTTAATTAGCGCCAACAATTTCCAAACTTCACATATTGTACATTCACATCGGTCCCTACCCTGAAGGAACTTACAATCTAAACTCTCCTTCCTTCACATGCCACAGGCAAATTTAGATAGGAGCCAATTAACCTACCAGCATGTCTTAGGAATGTGGAGGAAACAGGAGGATCTGGAGGAAACCCACACCAACTCAGTGCAGACAGTGTCCTGGTTATGATTCCAACCAAGCACACCCCAATGTACTATTTAAAGTGTTTTCTTATATCTGTTAAGTGCAAAAAAAAATCTTGGGAGCTGATAACTTCCTATAGCACAATTAAGGAATCCAGGTAAGTGTGATTGATAAATTGTATGACTTTCTGGAAATTGGACAATATACAAATGTTCAGCAAAATCAAATTGTTTCTATAATAGAGATTCCCCTGATTTGCAAACACTGCTAGTCATTTAAAAAAAAGACCTCATGCATTCTGGGCATTTTTACAGCTGCTGTTTTTGGCTTCTGGAATTTTTCTACAGCCAGTAAACTCCCCAGCATGTTATCCTACGTGTCCATGCACACATAGGCTTACATAAGCATTTTTTGGCAGGGGCACTTTCTGTCTAGAACCCCCCCCCCCCCTAGAACTAGTGGGGTTCAAGAGGAGGTTTTTTTAGCTGTAAAAACTCTAACGCTAGTTAATGTGGCAAACTGGTGTTTTTGAGCCAATTTGTTTTGTGCTAAAAACGCAGCTAAACGCTGATGAAAAATGCTCAAAAAAACCCAACAGAAAAACTTGCATTTTTATTGTAACTTAATACAGCTAATGCCCCCAGTGAGCATGAGGCATTAAGGTTGTGATAAAAGCTGTTGTTCTTGATGACAATTTACTGTTTATAAACATTTAGAATTTAGTAACCATTTATTTATAATTCTCTTTATGGTGCAAAACCCTAAAGCAACCTTCACCCATTCAAAGAAACCTTATACGTGAGTTACTGGCGTTTGCAAAGTGTTGACAACAACTTAGTGTGTATGTATATCCAAAACATTTTTCTAATCTTAGGATTACGTAGAAAAGGGTTAAAAAAAAAAAAGCACTAGTTTTTTTTTTTCTGGTCTGGACACCATTTTGGGAAATTACCCTTACCTTCTTGTTCTAGAGATGCAATAGGGAGTTTAAGGACATCTCCCAAAGTGATAGGGAAATTCCCCTCTTAGACAGTTGGACCCGGAACAAGTATCCCTATTGGAAGATTTTCCCTCACTTTTTGTTCTAAAGGTGACTTAAAATTTTTGAATTTACATTTTTTGTAACAATAGTCACTAGCAAAAATAGGTGAATCTCTCCAATGGGGACACAGACAGTCAGGGCTTTTTTTCAGTGGGAGCGTGGGGGAACTCAGTTCCAGAACCTTCAGCACTGGATGTATGTAATGGCAAGGGGTGCTGGGGTGTTCTGGAGGGTCTATTGATGCTTGCTATTTTTCATTGAGGGGTCTATTGTTGCTGGTGGGGAATATGTTGTTGCTGGGGGGGGTCTTATGTTTCGGGGGGGGGTCACTTGTTGCTGGGAAATAGCTACTGTTGATGGAGGGGGCCTATTATTGCTGGAAGCTGGAGGGTTTAGAGATCTGTTGTTGCAGATGGGGTCTATTGTTGCTGGGGGATCTACTTTTGCTGGGGGGGGTCTATTGTAGCTGGCTGCAGGGGACCTATTTTGCTGCTTTTCTTGTTTTCATTTATAAACTTCAAAATTGCTTAGCACAACAATATGATACTTTTTGTTCTGTATTCTCTAAAATGGGCAGTACTGAAAGGTGGGTAGGAGGTGGAACCAAAGGACAGTGCTCGGAGGTGGGTAGGGGGCAGAGACAGGGGTGACCCAGAAGAGGAGAGTATTCTTTAAGGGAAAAAAAAGCTCTGCAGATCATAATAAAAACTTGAGAGGGTCTTTCCTCCAAACCTTCAATAAATTGTCTTGCCAGGAGGTACACTTTAGGTTTATATTAACACAACTTTTGACCAAACCTGTGCTTAGTTTTGAGCACCTCAATGGGAACAGTTGTTCATGGGTATGCATCCTTGTATAGATGCTTGACAACAAATACAGCAATACTGCTATAATGGGTTGTTAAAAGAGCTGACCTTTAGTATACCAACAGAAGAGCAGCATAAGCCCCAGTCCAGAAGGTAGTCTAGCAAAGTTGTGCAGTAGCTCTTCGGTCTCCTCTCATTGAGACTGCCTGGTGTTTATGACTATATTAGTGATGCTCCACTTTAACTGGGAAGCTGCCAGGACATGAGATCACCTTGCGTGCCAGTCCAGATTTGAAGTTGGGCCATCTTTTCTCTCGTCCCAGCATGCTATCTTCTTTAGTTTAGCAGAAGTTTTAGAAGTTGAGGCTCATTAATCTCTCCCCCTGCTGATTACTGAGCTTGTTAGATGGTCTAACAAGCTGCGGGTAATTAAGAAGTATAGAAAAGGAAGCAAAGCTTGTTATACGTGCTAGATCTAATCTATCAAATCTAATCTATCAAATCTAATCTATCTATCGAATCTAATCTATCTATCTTTTTTTTAATCAACTCCTAGCAAGCTGCCATTTGTGCTTCTGTATAGTGTGTTCCAGCAGAGTCTTAGTACTTGGGTCTGAGGCGGTTTGTCTTTCTTGCATATCTCCATAGACATGTCTTCTGTCCTGGGTGTCGGAACGTTCACACTTTGACCATTGTTAAAATCATAAATATGACCAGACATGACCTTAGCTGTTTTTCTTCCTTGGCAAATTACTAGGGCATGCCAAGGAGGAGGGGTGTCCATACGAAGGGTGGTTGTTTTTTTCCGAAGTGTAAGAATGTTAGGTGGCCAGTTTACATACACAAAGTGCTTTACAGAAATCATCTTTTTGTAAATTGAACGTCATGCCACAAAAGCATTATGCAAAAAAGAAATTTTTTTTTTTTTTTCATTTGTAGGTCCGTTCTCAGACATGGAGTCTTATAATGGATTCGGTTGTTCCATCTGACAAGGGGAATTACACCTGTATTGTAGAGAACAAGTATGGCAATATTAACCACACGTATCAGCTGGATGTAGTCGGTAAGAGCTCAAATTTTTTAAATTAAAAGATCTGAAAAGCATGTCAATTAATTCAAGCTTGCAGTTATGATCTATACTTCCTCTGAGACCACAGATCCTGCTGGAATGTTCTTGTACATCTGTTCCTTGATTATATTATAAACACTTTATGGATCAATGCTGAATATACAGTTAGGGCTTCCACAGCTTAAGCAGAACTGATCTACCTGCAATCAAAATTTTGGATCTTTTATAGATATTCCTGATGTGAACTCTGGACAAAGTAAAGTGGTAGCTGATACAGGTTGTGTTGAATCATCCATCACGGTAATATGGTGCAACTCAGTGCACGGAAGAGCACTGTTAGCCAGGTTTTCAACCAATGCTAGTGCATGTGTAAGCCATGTACCGGGGTGGGCTCCCCAGGATACAGTGAAGTCACGAACGAGGAAAGCAACCCCAACACCTGCTTTTGCCACAACAGAATTTTGCTTAGATGTGGCAAATAAACACAACCACAAATGCTGGAAACATACAATAAATTTACATACACCCAGCCCAAAGGCTGAGACCCTTGTGTGCACAGCACGGTGCCTTCTGATGGATGAAGGTAGAAAGTGAAGTAATTTACCTACTGGCGTCCACAACTAAGCTGCCACACCTTAACTGTTATTACCCTAAAAGAGCAGGAATCAGTGTATGGGTGTGTGGTATGGGCTAGCCTGCGGTGCAGCACAACAGCTTACAATCTTACACAAATCTACAGTATTCCCCCTCCCATAACTGGTCCTGTAGCACGTGCCCGAGTATTCCTTCTGAGCAAAACGCCAGTCTGGCTTAAGTTTGTAGGATTTTATCAGCTCTCCAATGTGAAATGTCACTTTAAGTTGTGGAGCCCTTCCAATGATCAGTAACAACACTTGTGGCCTGACACAAACAGAGACCCTAACTAACTAACTAACTATAGGCCTGGACTCAGTCTCAAGGTGCCAACACTGAAATGAGGTGCGTGCACGATCTTACCGACCTGGGTCTGCTTTGCATCCTCTGGTGACTCTGAACAGAACAAATGTCTCTCCAACAAGCATGCAGTCTCGCCGTATATGTTGCTTAGTTCCTCTGGTCTTATCAGCATTCCTGACAGCAATTTCATCAGCATTCCTGGCAGCAATCTCATCAGCTTCACGTAGCTGCAGCTCTGGTTACGGAGGGACACTTTCACACCTGGATGTCATCAGATTCTCAGCTCACAGGGCCCCTTATTCACTATGCTCCAAAACATGGCTTCTCTCCTTCCTGTTCTCTCAAACTCTGTGTGCAAAACTCCACCTCTTCATGAATATACAAATCTCTATGCAGTCTGGTGTTAGAAAACCAGTGACATCTTGTGGCTAAACTGCAGAATGTCAGTCAAAACATTAATTTACTTCCACACAAACAGTGTTCAAACAATGAGAGCTGTTTCCCCATCTCACACGTTTTGATTCTTCCAGTGGGGCCTAGTAATTTGTTACATTTAATATACACCCATTAATAGAGAATTGTCAGCAATGCTCAGCTTTGTTCATCCCCAGGAATACAAAAGAACTGAAACTAGTTTTATAGATTGCCACCTAGTAATTGAGAATACTGCTTTGAGTGAACTCCTTTTAGGGTAGGTGAGCCTTCCTCCATGTCACTGCGTTGAGCACCAGAATTTAGGTTGACATAAAAGGCCTACCCCGGGGTGGGTTCATCTGGGCAACGATAGATATGATGGATGGGGCCACTCACCCTGCACATGGGGTGCCTTTTGCTATGTCGCTCTCATCAATGCCCTGGGACAAGACAAGGACCGCTTTCAGGGAAAATCAACATTAAGATGATCCTCCAGCTTAGAGATGGGCATTACACCATGTACTTTGAGTGAATAAACTGGATTTTAGTTAACCAACTGGTCTTGTGTCAATGAACACCTTGACTGTAACTGTTGGCAATTAGGAGGGACATGCTGAGCTCTTGCCGATTCCACCTATTCAGTGTACCTCTGTCCCCTCACTCCTAGTGACAGAATGGGATCTCACTATGCACATAGCACATACCTATGCATGCTCTTTGTTCTTCTTGTTCTTCCATACCTGATGGCTAGGTCAAGGGCCTCGCGATGCTGATCTGCTCCAATTAATATGGGAAACAGACTGCTAGGGAGGGAGCCCAAAGCAGAGACCCCATTTAGCACCGGTACCACATTTCCTAATAGGCTGCTTATACTGGTTACTAATCTCTTTACTCCTGGCAACTGCTGGCTTTTCCTTTGTACTATGTTTACTCTTGCAGAGACTGACTTCATGCCTCAATGTGCTTTAACTGACCCAAACTTCAGATGTGTATGTGTGTTGGTTACTTCTATGCACCCCATTTAGACCTTTTCAAAGGACAACATTTGAAAGGCTTTACTGAGAAAATGTTAGCACAGCATGCCTGCATAGGTAGAGTCCAATAGAGGCAAGTCCAGAGTGATGGTGGTCCATGGCGATAGTGTCCTGATGAGTGGGTGTCTTCACAGAGAAGAGTCCCTGAAGACCCTCTATATGACATTTTTGTGGTTCTTCTAGAAGAATTTAATGGGAGAAAACGATTACACCCCCCCCCCCCTTTCCTCCTTCTTGTTATACACAGGATAGGTGACCCAGACAAAGAAACAAATCTTCGCAAACATTGAACCGTCCATGCTCCGTGGTTCTGTCTGTCAGCCCTTATATCATTACAGGGTACAGTGGTGTGGTAGGGGCCTACAAGAATGAACCAACCATGGCACTCAGTGGGAAATCAGGCATTCAACACACCTGGAATTATCTCTGATGCCGAAGAGGTTTCCAGAAAGCAGTGTGGACAGTGGGACATGTACTTAAAGCCTTTTTTTAGGAACATGTGCACTTTAAAGCACAGCCATAGTATATCTAAATCCCAAGAAGGCGTACTTGCAGACACACAAAGGCATAATTTGTCATATAGCTAAAACTGCTTTTTATGTGAGCATGCATGTCCACAGAAGCTCACAGAATTGTCAACGTGTATAGCTAACCTTTTAAAAGTACAACTGCTCTTGTAGAAGTTGTGATGGGGTTAATTCTGGGTTTGTATTCACACACCTGGTGCCTGCTCAAGAAAGCAGTTAGGTGAAGTTACTCTTAACTAGGTGACTATATGTGCAAAAACCTCTGCATTCTGTTCCATTTGACTGACAAAGGCCTCAAGGACTAAATCCATAGGATAATAAATGCCCGGCATTGCATAAACTGTACTGATTGCCTTTAATGTAGCTGAGGTAATTTGGTGATTCCTAAGCCAGTTATATCACGAATGAATGCTGTGTAATCACTCCGAGGGAACCATTTTTAATTCCCCTCACAGATGTCTCATATGATACGCTCCAGAAAAAAAAAATCAAAACAAATATTTCACAAGCAGCTGTGTTATTTGAGACAAGAATGGAAAGAAATTAGGCATTTGTGCATGTTATGATAGCACTGGGCTGGTTTTCAGGCAGGGAAGAAAAAATGTACTTGTTTTTCTGCCCTCTATCTGACAAATCAAGAAATTACCCTCCATTTCCTCAAGTAAGTAGCCAATTCTTCACTCAAATATTTCCTTCATTCAACATCCGACTTTAATTATGCTACATATTTTAGCCGCTCTGACTCCCCACCACCCCCATTTCCACCTCACAGATCCTATTAAATTTCAGATATTTCCTGTGCAGGGGGCAATGAGGCCTAGTTTAAGGTGCTGAATTTATTTAGTCTGTCAGCATTTTTTCCCCCTGGTCTCCAGCCTGCTTCTGCTACACGTCCTTTATTCATTTTGACTGCTTTCTTCCTGGATGTGGAAAAAAAAAATTAACTCAAACAAAGCCTAATTTATTTCGGTTTGTCAAAAAAGCAGACTTGTTGGCTTTTATGAAGAGGACGGCAAGTTGGAAACTGGTTACTTCTGACAACACGGAGGGCTCTTCTTTACCCAGTACTTTGATGACTGATGCCCAGTTGGTCCTATTTATCAAATTGTGAGACAGGAAAGCACCTTTGGTGTATCCTGCAGGTAGGCAGCTTCAAGCTGCCATCTTTTTTAAAGTCGGTTTGAAAATATGTAGAAAATAACTGATTTTTCCTGTCCATTGATGATAGCTGTGTGGCTGATCTCTGACAGCTGGATGAAAATGTTTTGTCTAATATGTAGTAACCCACTGCATGTAACTCCTGTTGTATGCATGTTTTTTTTTTTTTTCCTTTTTTTTTTTTTTTAATACCAGTAGTTATGCAGATATATATCAATCAGCCATAACATTATAACTCGCCTAATATTGGGTAGGTCCCCCTTTTGCTGCCTAAACAGCCCCGATCTATCACAGCATGGATGACACTAGACCTCTAAAGGTATGCTGTGGTATCTGACACCAAGCTGCAAGTAGCGGATCCTTTTAAGTCTTGTAAGTTGTGAGGTGGGAGCTCCATGGATTGGTTTTTATTTTTCCAGCATATCCAATAGATGCACAATGGATTGAGATCTGGTGAATTTGGAGACCAATTCAACACCTCAAACTGTTGAACCATTTTTGCAGCATAGCAGGAAGCATTATCGTGCTAAAAGAGGTCACTGCCACCAGGGAATACCACCACCACCACATGAAGGGGTCTACTTGGTCAGCAACAATGTTTAGGTAGGTGGTATGTAACATGAATAGCAGGACCCAAGGCTTCCCAACAGAACATTTCCCAAAGCATCACACTGCCTCTGTCGGCTTGCCTTCTTCCCTTACTGCATCCTGATACAATTTCTTCCCCAGGTACATGATGCACATGCACTCAGCCATGATCATATTATGTAACAAAATATGTGATTCATCAGACCAGGCCACAGTCTTCTATTGCTCTTCTGCTCATGTGACCATTGTTGGCATTTTTGGCTGTGGACACTGGTCCGCATGGCTATCCTTACTGCTCTGTGGTTACGCAGCCCCATATACAACAAACTGAAATCCCCATTTTTTTGCTTTCAACACATCAACTTCATGGACAACATGTTTATTTGCTGCCTAATATATCCCGCCGACATTCAGATGTTGTTGTAACTAGTTCATTGTTATTCACTTTACCGCTAAATAATAATGTTTAGGTTGATTGGTGTATGCTGATGGTGCACAGATGTGTCTAGACATTTTCAGCCAAATTCAGTAATGGAATGTTAAACAAGCCTGTGGAAACACAGCTCTGACCAGACCGGTTCACAATGGGCTTCGACTGCACTTTGTGCTTGGTCATGCTATCTGATTGGGAACATTACATGGCCAAGCAGTGGGAAGAATCAAGAAGGCTCCCTATGTGGGGTACCAGTGGCTTCTCTGCACTGTATTGCTGGTGACGGTATTTGCTATTTCACCTCTTGCACTGGCAAGCTGGACTTTTTTGGAAGACTTAAGGGGCAGTATCCACCAAAAGGAGGAATACAGTATATCCAAGATGTTAGAAAATAGTTTTATTAATGAAATTGTAATGTATTCACACTGCATTTGGGACTAAAAGCGATGGAATTGCATTTTATATTTCTTTTTTTTCCCTCAGAGCGTTCCCCTCACCGGCCAATCCTTCAAGCTGGACTGCCAGCGAATACATCAGTCACTGTTGGAAGTAATGCCGAGTTCTACTGCAAAGTGTACAGTGATCCACAGCCTCACATACAATGGCTTAGGCACATTGAGATCAACGGGAGCAAAATAGCCTCCGATGGCTACCCTTATGTGGAGATTCTGAAAGTAGGTATTCTGATATAATATCCCTGTGTTTGATGACATCTGGCTCTGGGAGTAATGGGGTTAATATAGGTAGCTGCTCCTGGTCTTGTTTAGTGCAAAAAGCCCGATGGAAAATCAGCCAACCAGATGCAGCACATTGAGTCTGCCGAATACAATTAGTCAGGGTTTGTATTATTTATTAACTAGGGGGGTTGCTAAATATAGAGCCGTCTATGGCCATATCCTGACAACAGGCTCTGGCGCACTGACGCAGTGTGACGAGGCAGCCGTCTCCTTCACATTGAATGTACCAGCGGGCTTGTCTTCTAGAGTCTGCTTCAAGTTAGAAAGTATTTTATTCATTTGGTAATGTTTTCAAATTTTATTGAGCTTTACAGTGTGTTCAGTAAGACCATAAGTGCACTTTGCTTTTTTTTTTAATGTTTAAAATGCAGCTTTTGGTGAGATGGATATTTTAGATTTTTTGCTCATTTTCTAGTATAGGACCAGGTTTGTTACATATATCAAGTTGTTATAAAATGTGGTTGTAAAGGCTCAAGGTTATTTATCTTCATGCTTTCTATGCATCAAGGTAAAAAAAAACCACCTGTGTGCAACAGCCACCCAGCTCCCCTAATACTTACCCTAATCCTTACCCTAATCCCATCATGATCTAGTGATGTGCACGAGAGCCATGGCTCTCTGAGGACTCTCCCTCACCATTGGCTACCACTGCTGTCAATCATAGCCAGAGAGGTAATGAGAAGAGAGAAGGGTAGGGGTCAAGCCACAGCTCAGTGTGTGAATGGACACGCAGAGCAGTGGCTCAAGAGTGAGCCTGCTTGGGTGCCCCTATAGCAAGCTGCTTGCTATTGGGGAACTCAGCAGGAGGGAAGGGCCAAGAGCACCAGCGGGGAATCCAAGCAGAGGAGTATCAGGGCTGCTGTGTGCAAAACCACTGCACAGAGCAGGTAAGTATAACATGTTTGTTTTTTTTGTTTTTTTTAATTGCCTTTAATATTGTAACTTAGGATAAGTTCACCTTTGGAACATGTAACATGTTCCCATAGCCGCAGCCATGCCCGATTTCTCCCCGTACGATCTGTTCGATATAAAAATCGTGCAGCCATGCGGGTCTCCAGCTGTAGGTCTGCGTCCCTCATTCAGTGTTCTGTGAATGAGTGCCTACAAGTCCCAACATTGTCAGTGGCTGTGGGCTTGTAGCTTTCAATGAACTACCATGGCCCTGTGGAGCGCCGTGGTAATGCATTGAAGTTTCCTGTCCGTATATCTGCTTACTCGCACATCCTGTACAGCAAGCAGATATTCTGACAGGTCTGCAGGAGACCTGCATGGCATCAGCAATCTACTGATCTCTGGTGCAATGCTTTCCAGGCTCCTTTGGACAAAAATAATAAATGCACATTTTTTTACCCGCAAAAAAATGCGTATTATTGTCCAAAAGGTGAACATATCCTTTAATAAAATTTGAAGATCAGTTGTAGCCAAAACATATACATTTGAGTAGAGTAGAGAAGGGTTAGAACATCTCTTTGGTTTTTTTATTGCTGTCTTTACCTACAGAGGGGAAATTACCTCTCAGAAGGGACAGAAAGTGATGTGAGATCTCAGATTGAAACGAGAATACAGTTTTTTTAGAGGGGAAATGTTGGAAGCCTTGTGAGATTTTTCCAGCTTGTCTATTCCTTCCTCTCCCAGTGACACCAGTTCCCCTCATTTTATGTCCTTGTGTCATCTTCTCAGCTGGGTCACAGACTGTAAGAAAAATCTGACAAAGGTTCAATTTATCAAAAACTAAATTTAAATGGAGTGTTTTGGTTGAAAGGAGGAAGAGTTTGAGAAATTCATAATAACTCATTAATGTGTTAAAGAATCATAAATAGCATTCACAGATACATATGTATCCAAACCTGCATAAAGATGAAGATTTTTTTCAGATTTCTGTAGCCCTTTGACTTTTTTGTTGTCATATTACATAAAAGGTGACACCAAAATGACAGCGGTAGTTGTATTTTTGTGGGAGCATTAAACAGGTCAGTGGTTTGTTCGAAAACATTTCTCCCAAAAATGTAAACATCATCTTAAAAATCCTCTTTAGTTGAAATCTCCTAAATCTAACACATTCATTTGTGAATGCTCTTACAGCCTTTTCACTTACAGTGGTATTAAACCACAAACCAAAAATATAATATATTGCAATTTACCGATCATTAGATGTGGTGGCTACATTTGTTTTCTTTTTTTAACCCTTTTTCCCTCTTTTCACCTGGTGCTCTGGCCATTAACACACCCTCTATTAGAGTGCCTCCACACTGGATAAAGGAGCACATGTGGTTGCTTTGGACAGCAGCATTGTTAATCTGAGGGGGGGGGGGGATGTAAGATGCACTAGCAGATTTAGATACACTAAAATCTGAAGCTAAACTCCAGCTAACACTACTTAAAGCGGAGTTCCACTCACCTGTCAAAAAATAAAAGTCAGCAGCTAAAAGAACTGTAGCTGCTGACGTTTAAAAAAAAAAAACAGCCACTTACCTGTCCCTCGGTCCTGTGGTGTGTCCCCCGCAGCCCTTTTCACCGGCCATCCTGGATTCAAGGAGGCCAGCATCTTTAGTGTGGGCACCCGGCTGTGATAGCTTGCGGCTTCACAGCCGGGTACCCACTGCGCATTCACGAGTAGCGCTGCACATCATGAATGGTCCTGTAGTCTTCTGGGACCTGTCACATGCCCCAATAGACTACAGGAAGGGAGGGAGGGAAGACACCTTCCGTTTCCGATCGCCAAGGCAATCGGAGCGTAAGTGGGAGCGGGTACCTAGGGGCGGACTGACAACTCATGGGGCCCCCGGGCAATAGGGGATCATAGGGCCCCTGTGTCCTTGCCCAAACGCAATGCCTATTAAAAAGGTACCAGGGGCATCTTATGGGGCCCCCTACTGACCCCGGGCCCTCGGGCAGTGCCTGAGTTTCCAAATGGTCAGTCCGCCCTTGCAGGTACCCACTCCCCGCCCCCCAAAGGTGCCAATTCTTAACGGGGAGCAGTCCTTAAAGCGTAACTTCCCCTTTTGGGTGGAGCTCCGCTTTAAGTACTTACAGCATTTTTATTTTCTTTTGGGGATAAAGGGTTTACCTAAATACAAGCTGATCATTGTAAGCACCCCTGTCAGTGGTATATGGTTTGTCTCAAACCTGTAACCACTACATTTACAGAACAACTTGTTTTGTTGTAAAGCAACAGACTTACGGGACAGATCACAGGTGAATATAAAAGAATGCATAAGACAGTCATCGCATCTAAGAATTAGTAAGCTACAATATAATATTTGCTTTTGGGTTTAATACCACTTTAAATCAATTATTCCTTTGTGTTCAATTGCCATTTATTATGAATGCTGTTTAAAGGACTAGGTTACCCCAAAGAGAAAAAAAACAGGTAGTGTTTCATAAATAAAATGTGATCCCTTTTGGAGCTGTCAAATTTATTGTGAGCAGGCTAATCCGATTTCGTAAATATCTATTACCTGGTAAGCAGCTCACTGAGTATTGGATTTTGCTTTGAGAATCTGCTGTTAATACATGTATCCAGCTTGACTTTGTAAATGTAAAATGTGAATTAGATGTGTGTGTAAATTATTACATCTTGTGATATTTTGGGATACCCAAGACCAGATTTATTAAAATATACAAAAGAGTAATTTTTGCAAAATCTATTTAAAGTACTTGCAATAATGAAAAATTTGGACCCATATAACTGCAGCTAGAAAATTGCAGGCATCCAATCTAATGCTAGGCTCTAATACTACAGAACAGCAATTACACTTCATGTAGAGACCTAATCTGGTGGGCCAGTAAGTGCAACCAATCCTGCGAACAATATTGGTGTTAATTTACTAAAGGCAGATACTGTGCACTTTGCAGTCAGCAGAGCTTCTGCTCATTTACTAAGCTCTGGAGCAACTGCACATGCAGAGTGCCCAGTCTATTTGCCTTTAGTAAATCAGCTCCTTTGTGTTATTAAACTCCTGTACTGCTATTCATCCCTGATGCTGGGTTCACACTAGGCTGCGGGCTGTTTACTGGGTGCAGGAACCGCACCTGTTCCCAAACCCATAGCCAAATCACACTGCTCTTCTGAATGACACCCCCACTCATCTCAGCCTGCAGCGCGATTGGGGGTGCGGGAACCGCAGGGAGATGGCATGGTCAAAAAGACCAGTTTTCCTGCGTCCAAGTTTTTAAAAAAGGTGTGTTCACCTTTTTTTGGGCACAACAGCCCCTTCAAATGAATGGGCCACGGTGCCCGAGCAAACACAGGTTGCACAGCCAGCACTAGTGGGAACCTAGCCTTAAATACGTAAACCTAACAGCCATCTCACATGATCATATGATTCACACATATAAAGATATATTGGGGATGCTTTCCTAAAACTGCAGAGTGCAAAATCGAAAATCTGCTGCAGCTATTATTATAATTATACAGGATTTATATAGCACCAAGTTTGCTCAGCGCTTTACAATATAAAGGGAGACAATACAGCAACAATACAGTTCAATGCAAGAGGGTTAGGATGGCCCTGATCCTTGGAGCTTACACTCTAAGCTATGCATGGTAGCCAATCGGCTTCTAACTTCAGCTTGTTCAATTAAGCTTTGGAATAAAAAAAAACCTGAAAGCTGATTGGTTTCTTTGCAGAGCTGCACCAGATTTTGCGGTCTCCAGGTTTAGGAAATCAACCCCACTGTGTATAATAATAATATATACATACATACATACTTTATTTTTTTGTGTGTGTGCACAGCACTACTCCTATTGTGATCATACAGTACATAAAGTAAAAAAAGAATTCCAACCACATATACTTCTGAAGTGACAAAACCTACTCACATGTGCATTTTTATTATGAACAAAGTGAAATTCCGAAATCAACCACATCAGTCTCGAGTGCTGGATAATATAAAACATTTCTTCTTGTCAATGTGCAAAAAATCACCAGTGATTCACACCACTCCTCCTCCGCCACAGTGCTTCACTCAAGATGTGCTCTCACCTTAAAGGAATAACCTGTATATTGTGGAGTGTATGTATGTGTGTATATATGTGTGTGTGTGTGTGTGTGTGTATGTATGTATATGTATGTATGTATATGTATATATATATATAATATATAAAATAATCTTTTTTTATTCCCCCTCTTTGGGGTCCAGGTGTCGGTGTCTACTCCCTCATGATCACTCAAGACAAGTAGATACATATCACATAGCAGGAGATTTACTAAAATTAGTGCGCGCAAAAGCTGGTGGAGCTGTGCATAGTAACCAATCAGCTTCTAGGTTTTATTGTCAAAGCTTAAAGTGTTACTAAACCCCTAGACCATACATTCATTATCTCCTGTCTTCCACAGTACACACAACATCAACATGCAATTATTGTAGTAAATATTAAACTACCAAATACCTTTTCCCATCAGCAGTATATAGCAGTCTTGTGATTTCTATCAGTGTCTGGCCGAGCAGTGCTTAATCTTGTAGGAAGAGTTTTCATTCTCCTCTGACTGTCCTATGAGGCTGCATAACCCCGACCCTCTGTCTGGACAGTGCTGATTGGCCCTGTGCCAATTACATGCACCCTCCCAAAAAAAAAAATTATAATTCTAGCATTACACACAGAACAGCAGTGCAAGTCTGCACATGATCTGTTTGAACTATTGTGGATGGATTGGGGACAGCAAAAGAAGGGGAGGATCAGAGAAGACAGGATCAGACCGCTTTTTTACACAATGCAGAAGATTAACCCCTTAGGTTCCATAGTGAGTATAACAAGGATGCTTTACTGCATATATAGATAGATTTTACTGTTGTGGTTTTAGTAACATTTCATTTAATAAGCTGAAGTTAGAAGCTGATTGGTTACACCAGATTCTGTGTGCACTAGTGTTAGTAAATCTACTGCATAGTGTTTTCCATTTTTAAAACGACATGTTTAAGAACCATTAAAAACACACATTTTCCATCTCCTAGGTGCACATAGGTAAACCACAATGTCCATAAAACACCACTGTTTTGCATACAGCATAAATCAGCATGAAAATTCTGTCAACCAAGTTGCTTCCTGGTCTACCTGACAGATAGTCAGCTCAGATGCAGTGATCTCATCCCTAATTTCCTGACAGGCTTGAATGATTTTTTTTTTTTTCTATTAGCTGACATTGACATACAGGAATAACACCTAATGCATTTTATTGTCTGCTTTGATCGTTTTCAGTCATTTTTTTGCCTACAGTTAGGCTGCAGAAAAACCAGTCTCTGATCCCACTTCTCTGTGTTTGGTAATAGTGTATGGGTCCACTTTTTAATTTACTGTGGAAAACCCTTTTAAATTCTGTATTGGCATTTTTAAAAGAAAAAGCTAAACACCACCTCTGGATGCAGCAGCACGCTATACTCTGGCCGCATTCAAACTGGCCAATTAGCTGCCGCTGTGCGTTACCTAAAACGCTGTCACTAAACACAGACTGCCTCTGTCTAGGACCGGCCAAGGGCTCTGTTTGCATGTAAGCACTTGCATGTGAACAGTGGTGGTGCGAGCCATTCATTTGTACAGGTGACTGCACCGCTGTTTTTCGTATGCAGTGTGTGCACGCAGCTGTCCTTCCACCAGCAAGAATCAGCCGACAGCTGCCCATGTGAAGGACACCTAAATCACTCTGATACAAGTGCCTGAATTATACAATACAATGTTTTCCTGTATTCAAAATGCTATGGCTTCAAATAGTATGAGCCTTGATGGCATGTTCTTCACTGTTCCAGGTGAAAGCATATGGCCTACTGTTACTTTTTATATAAAATGATTTGCCCACGTTCAAAACTAAAAGCATATGCAAAAATTCAGTAGCTTGTAGGTATCCAAGTAATGCTGCGCATAGACAACTTGGAAATGTGGCACAAGTGAGTTTTAGTAAATCTGGCTCTTGGTTTGTGGGAAATATCAGCTCTGTGTTTGTTGCTGTGTTTGACATCCTCATGTATTCGGTTTATTTCAGCACTCTGGGATTTATAGCTCAGACGCAGAAGTTTTGACCCTGTACAATGTGACAGAGGCAGAGAGTGGGGAGTACATATGTAAAGTGTCCAATTATATTGGTGAGGCCAATCAGTCTGCGTGGCTTACCGTCACCAGACCCATGACTCAAGGTAAAAAGAAAATCGGTGGCACCTCCTGAGCTAAATTAAGTCAAACTAGACCTTTGGGACAATTGCTCTCCAAAAACCAGTTGGTGGGCATATTGTACGTCTACCCCCTTTTTTTGTCTGCTTTATTTCCATGGAAAAATACTTTTGCGTGTGGCCTGGTTTAGTTTCAGCAATCTTTCTCCCTCTTTCTAACTCTCCTGTCTGTGTTTGGAACTCTTAATAACTGTACACTTTGCTCAGCTGCTTCCAGGACCCCAGTTTCCAGGAGGGGAAAACCATTTTAATTCTATGTAATGCTTTTCTGCAGAAAGAAACTTTAATTTTCACTATGACACTACTTCCTGTTACTGCTGGAATCCAGAAATTATACACATCGTAACAATCCATCTGGAAATTAAAGATGTCTTTGTCTATGAAGAGTGGAAAACATGTTCTGTTCCAAAATGAACAGCTTTTCAGAACGTTTGAAGGGCTTGGCTGTTTTCCTTTGGTTCTTGGAACAGACTGCAGTCATATCAGTCAGTACAGATGATCCAAAATGGCTGTGAGAGGAAGTACTGAAATTTTTATTTCATTTTGCAAAGTTATGGGGTTTGAACCATTTCCCTAAATTCATTTTTGTTCCAGATTGTGACTTAGAGTTCATACTCCACATATTTAGATTTGCGTATTTCCAAAACCAAACTTTTTTATCATTTTGGATAGAGTCGTTAATGGTTAAAACATCTGCAGAGTTTTTTTTTCTGTGCCTTATTGCAGAGAACTACCTTGACTTCCTGTCCTGTAGAGACAACAGGATGTAAAGGAAACTCTCTTCAAAGTAAGGCAAATCCCATCTTTGTCATCACTAAGCTGTTTCTATTGCACGATTGCACTTATTTTTTTTTTGGTGATGAATTTTATTTTTTGCCACATTTTTAGTCCTGGTGACAAGTGTTCACCAGGACAAAGAGTGTCAGGAACACACACAACAATCAAAATCTGGCAGGGTTCAAACCCTTCTCCCAATCCCCCACACTTCAAGTCCAGGAATCAGATTGCCAAAGCACTGAAGAACAGAGCATATGGCACTTCTAGAAGAATTTCTATTAGTAAAAGTAAACTCCAGCATAGGTGAAGAACATAGTATAGAAAACTTACTGCTTGCTGGGGCTCACAAAATTGTAGAAAGTGATAAACTACATTTTCACACCCCAGCCCACTTAAATCAAATAGGTGGCTTTCTTTGGTGCAACCTGTTACTAAATTTCTCTAACTGAATTACATATTGTGTATTTAATCACCCCTGGTTTTTTTTTGTCTACTAGAGTTAGCTTTAACTCCTATTCCAATCTACAATAACATCACTAAAATGAGATCTTAATAAACTTGAAAGACTTTCACAATTCTTAAGGCCCCTCTAAATTTTTTCCAGCAGTTGAATTTGGGTGTAATAAGGATATTAATGGCATGAAATACTATACGTTCTTAGTTGGGATGCAGACTTACTCTTTTCTTTGCTTTCTCTATCATCCTGTTTTTTTCAGAAATGAACAAGGCCATAATGCTCGGGTTTCATTTTTCCATGTGTTCAATCTCCAGCATGTTATAAGTGGGCAGGAGGTCTCTCGATTTTGGTGACGGGTTTAACTTAAGTTAGCTTCTCTTTAGGCCAGGCTTAAGGGAAAAGTATTCTTTAAATCTTCTAACCATATTTCTTCCAGTGGTTTCTTTTCTTTGTCCGTGGCACCATCTGGTTCCAGGACAATACCTGCCCACACCTCTTCTGGTTCTCATGGCATTTCGCTTGTCCGTCTTCCCCCCCCCCCCCCCCCCCCCCTTCCCTTCTTCGATGCTGTTCTCTGTAGACTGCAGGAGTCAACACCACCGACAAGGAGATGGAGGTTCTCCACCTGACGAATGTCACTTTTGAGGATGCTGGCCAGTATACCTGCCTGGCCGCTAACTCCATTGGGCTCTCTCATCACTCTGCATGGTTGACCGTTCTTGAAGGTATATATGGTTCTGTTCTGTCCTCTCCTCTTAATGTTACATGCATTTCTGATTCAAAAGGTACCATCTTTCAATACAAAAATACTCTTTTTAGCTAAACTACAGTGCAATTTGTGCTATACTTTTGCCATGATTTTTAAAAAGAAATAAATAAGATAAATGGTTTTAAAATGAAGTACTATTTTCTGTAACTGCTCCTCCCCCAGCTGAGAGAATTAAAAAAAAAAAAAAAAAAAAGAGGTTTCTCATAATTCTATCTAGGAACACAACTTCTGTTATTATCAAATAACCTTTGTTAAAGATTATGGTCTGTAGAGAACACTGATAAATGTACATGTCTGGAGCCCTTTGAGTTGATCATCACTGATCTACAATATTTTAACTGGTAAAAATGTACTCATTGAGTAAAAATTGCATGTACAAAATCATGATTATTTGTAAGGACCTGAAATTTTGCTACAGGAAAGGTTTCCTATCCAGAGAACTATCAAGTACCATGTTACCTCTACCGTTCCATCTCTTCTCCATTCTCCTGTCTGTATACTTCATGTCCCATGCACTTACCCCTATCCTTTAATATGCTCCCTTTTCTTTGCTCTTTCCCTTCCCCATGTTATCAACTTTGTTTCCTTAACAGACTTAATCTGCTTGTGCCATTTTTTTTTTTATACCCCTTTTCATATAGCACATTATTTTTGGGCTGTGAATATTTGGTTGCCAGTTTTTCAGATTCCACAGCAATCTAACTGTTCCTTTTTAGCACCCATGGTCGCTGACTAAAAATAATAAAAGTCAGAAGCAGCCAAGCAGTTTTTCAAAGGCAGGTTTCCACTAACATGTAACCTGTCCACAACACCCCCCCACCCCCACCCCCCAACATACACACTTTCCTTAAAGCTTATAGTGTTACTAAACCCCGGGACCCTGCATTCATATCTGGTCTCCTACAGTACACACTACATGGAAGTGCAATTTATTTTAGTAAATATAAACTTCTAAATACCTTCTTTTTTGCTAAGAGGTTTTTTTTTCATCAGCAGTTAAAGCAGTCTTGTGACTTCTATCAGTGTTCAGCAGAGTACTGGTTAAAGCTTGTAGGAAGAGTTTTTTCTGCTCTAGGAGGATGCAGAACCCCTGACCTCTGTCTGGATAGTGCTGATTGTCCTTGTGCTGATCACATGCACCCTCCCAAGAAAAAAAAAACTCTCTAGCAAAATACACCAAATTGAGCATGTGCATAGTGTCTCCACACAATATCTCTTATCAGGAGAGAAGAGTGGGGACACTGGAAGGATCAGAGAAGACAGGATCAAACAGCATTTTTACACAATGCAGAGGATTAAGTCCTTAGGTTCCACAGTGATTATAACAAGCATGCTTTACTGCATATACAGTACAGTGGCTAAATGGTTAGAACTTCTGCCTGGCAGTACTTGGGTCGCTGGTTTGAATCCCAACCATGGCATCACCAGCCTGGAGTTTTGCATGTTCTCCCTGTGCCTGCGTGGGTTTTCCTCCGGGTACTCCCGATTTCTTCCCACACTCCAAAGATATGCTGGTAGGTTAATTGGATCCTGTCTAAATTGTCCCTAATATGTATGAATGTAAGTTAAGGTCTTTAGATTGTATGCCGCTTGAGGGTTAGGGACTGATGTGAATATAGAATATATATGTAAAGCGCTGTGTAAATTGACAGCACTATAGAAGTACCTGTAATAATAATAAATAATATACAGCCTGTTTTTACTGTTATGGGTTTTTAGTAACATTTTAACACTTGACCAATCTTTAAAAAGTAATCTTCCAGAACTAATGCTTAATCCTTGCCCTACTTCTGGCTACCCTTAACCCTGTCCTAACATGTAGCCCCATCTATTTTTCTTGGCCTACTCCCCACATAAATGTGGTTTCCAGGTGTTTAAGGTTCCATTTGCCTTACATTGCTAAGAGAGGAAAGGAAATAAGTATTGAAATCCCCTTAAACCGCTCTCTCTACTCATCTGTATCAGTAATAACACAACTGTTTTTCTTGATACAGAGTTGATTGCTCACATTCTTTAGATGTATTTATTACACAATCCAAGGGGAAGTAATTAAACCATTCCAGGGAAGAATTTCTATATGAAAAGTTGAATTTAATTCCCATTCTCATATCAGCTGAAGGCTCCATTGTGTTGCCTTGAGACACATTTTCTTATTAAAATCAAGTTTTCTAATTTTGGCTGTTTTGTTTTTATGTGGCTTAACCCCTATAAGCATAAATTAGACTGAAGTATAAGCAGAATAATAGAACCTTTTTTTCTAGAAGTTATTCCACCCACTTTTATTTCCTAAAAGAGAACAGCACCAAGATTGCTAAATGACTTGTACTGTGTTAGCTAAAGATGATGGTAAAGAGTGAAAAATACACAAGATGCTTTTTATTGGCTGAATATACTGTAGTGTTGGGTTTCAAGACTTAAATTGCAGTGTACTGTATGGCAAAAAATGTGTAGACACTCCTCCAAATAATTGAGTTCAGGTGTTTCCAATGAAGGGTACTGTTTAAACCATTTTAGACAATCGTATGCTTTCAACCTTGTGGTAAAAGTTGCGAAAAAGCTCTTTTCTGTTTTAGCATGACTTTTCCCTTGAGAACAAAGTTGGGCCCATAAAAACATGTTTTCTTGAGTTTGCTGTGGAGGAAATTGAGTGGCCAGCACAGGGTCCTACCTCAATCCTATTAAACACCTCTGGGAGGAATTGGAACACGGATTGTGAACCAGGTCTTTTTGTCCACCATCAGTTGGACAAAAAGTCCAATGCTACAAAATGTTTTAGTGGAAGTTGAGTTTAGGTGTCATCCTTACCTGCTTACATCTGTGCTGCTAATACCAGTTAACCTTAAATGTCTAAAGTAAATTAAGTATACATAAAACAGGGAAAATCAGATCATTTTTAGTGAATATGTTTAGTACTGGACAATTATACTGTAAGTCCTAAATCAAACTCTTCACTCATAAATTAGATATTTTACCTGATTTATATGTCAGAATGGCCACAGCCAGGCAGTATTTGATGTACAAGTAAAGTGTGTTCAGTTTACAGCTGTTCATATGAGCTCACAAGTAGATACTATGTGTTTTAACTCTAGTGTGAACAATTTTTCTGATTTATTAACAACTTAGTAAATAGAGCGTTTAATGGACCCTTGTGACCTGTATTGTCCTGACTTTACTCACAGCTGGAGGATTGCTCTGAAAGTTACAGATTAATAATGCTTCACTTTGAAATGTCCCCAAGTCAATTGTCCTTTTGGCTCATATAAAATGCATGTGTTTTGTCAGTGCTCCAGTGTTTTGGGGGGGTTATAAAGCCAGTTTTTTTTTTTTTTTTCATTTTACAACAATGTGCATGTATTTTGTGCGGAAAAGGTTAATGGAGTTGATTTACAATAACTTAAACTACACAAGCTGCAAATCTCTAGTTTGGCTTTATTAACCCAAATAGTCACTGGAAGTACTAATATGTTAATGGGATTTTCTTTCTTTTCTATCCGTCTTGCGGATATGGCATCTATCTTTTCTCTATTATTCTGCCATATATTGTATTTTCTATCCGCCTTCATTTCTGTTTTTACTATTGTACATGTATGTTTAAAAATTTGTTTTTTTTGTGTGTTTTTTTTATCACTCATGAGGATCTGTTCTTTATTTATTTGTCCTAGCAAATAGGCAAAATAGGTTACTTTAAAATACACCTATCATGATAGAACTATGTGGTCTGTTTCTATTTCCATGTAAAGGACAATGGCTTTGACATGGCTTTGCCATATGACTCCTATAAGTGTGATAGGTATCCCCAAAATTATGGCTGTATGGTGTATTTACAGAATGTCTTTTTGGGTCTGTAACTCACAAGTATTGAAGTCCGAGACAGCATTTTCATAAGGATGCCTGCAATGACCGCCCCTCTGCCTTCTTCTCTCATGAGAGGTGTATTCTTTTTCGTCGGAGACATTTAGGCATTTATTGTTAGCAAATTGGCAGCACACTAAAATATTATGGCAGTAAGATGAATGTCTTAACCATGGAATGCATATGTCTCCAAGTATCAACCATTGCAAATTGAGTCAGGAGTTTACCAGATCTCCCAATATGAGATGGAGTGGGGACAGACGGATTGGAACCTAGTTTGTCAAGACTGGGATCTATCACAGTGTTAAAGTCTCCCAACCATAAAGCGGGGATGTTGGGCCATAAAGGCCAACCCCTTGGTCAGAATATGTGTTATAACTTTTTTCTTTTTTTTTTTTTGTATACATATATTTTGTACACAAATGCATTCTTATCTGTCCCAAAGTTCAGCTTTAAATTAATATTAAATAAAAAAAAATTATAATATATACATTTCAAATAGGGTCATGCATATCTATATTAGCCCTCTAGTAAAGGAATGTTGGAGAAACAACACTATTACATATTTCTCACTAGCCCATTACCCTAAATGATTTGAGGCTTTGTGGATAAGGAACTGTGAACATTTACAGCATATGTACAGGTTTATGCATGGCCACACTTTTACCCATAAATAATTAATGAACACATATTTATACAAATGTATAATGCTTTTATTACAATAATAACCCTTTCATGTACATGGACACAGCTGTGGATGAGAAACCAGCACACATGACGTCCTCACTGCACCTTGAAATTATAATTTACTGCACGGGAGCTGCTATTGTGTCTGCCATGTTTGTGACCATCATTATCTTCAAGATGAAGCATCCTTCCAAGAAGTCTGACTTCAACAGCCAACTGGCCGTCCACAAGCTGGCCAAGAGCATTCCACTGCGCAGACAGGTAACAGAAAGTATATAGGGGGTTTACATGCCTTACACACCACACATTGATCAGTGCCGATAGTTGCAATATGCTAGGTTTGTTATGGTGAAAATAAGGTCACAGTGCTTTGTGGCGGACATAGACAATTTATATCAGTTCCGACTACAGAGGAGATTACAGTCTAATATTGCTACTGCAGTGATACGTACCTGTGCATAGAAGGCTGGGTCTAGTTTGTGAGCTTACCTGCATGAATTTGGGTAGTGGAAGAAAGCTCTTATACCCAGAGGAAACTTATACAAACCACCATGCAATATAGAGAAAATACTATACACCAGGTTCAGAAATGTCCTTGTTGGGTGAATCGCTTTGGTAAGTGAGGATTCCAGATCAGTGTTTGCTCCATATTGTTTGGCGAACTTTGAGTGGAGATTGGCTCTGAAGGTGTACCTGCGCCCAGGTGGAAAGCAGATATACACACGTGGGCTTTTTGGATTATGCAAATCATGTCCTTCATGTGACTTGGATTTGAGCCACCAGTAATAATGCTGACCACTTAGTTACTGAGCCGCCTAATTGTTAGTAATTGTATGCATTAATAATAATAAAAAAACAAAACGGAGAACTACAGGAAATATAACTAGAAACAGTGGTTGGTAAGCATATTGTGTGTTTAAGTCACAGCTCTCTGAAAACCTGCCATGTCGGCAACTAAAAAAAAGACTGTTTAACTAAAGTTGCCACATTGGCAACATTAGTTAAACATATCTGGTCTGTGAGCTCTGTGCTTCTAGTCATTGCTATTTTATGAATGGAATTTGTTGATGCTAATGGTGACCCAATGGAAATTTGTTGCAGTGACCAATTTTTTTCATAAAATAGCAGCCTAAACCAAAAAAACTATACCCTAGTCAAGAAAAGATTGCATCAAATTGATTCTACTTTACTTTGTTTTAAATAAGTTCACTCTAGTATTTTTTTAAATAAAAACTACTCTGTTGCTAACATAAATCTTTATGCAAAGAAGACATGGGATACTTGCCTCCTGCCATTCATCTCTGCAATATTGAAGAGCAAGCAGCCGATAAAAATCCTCCAAAATCAGATGCTTCTAGGAGTGTCAATTTCCTGGTCTCCCACTATGTGCTGTGATTTCTTCTGCCCCCCCCCCCCCCCCCCCCCCCCCCCCCTCCCTTCACCCGGCCATGTTACTACAGGACACCATTCCAGTGGATATATCAAGTATCCAAAAATTTGGAAGTGTTTTGAATCTGCAGCTTGTTCAGTGTCTGCTGCCCATCTCTGCAGTATTGATGAGAAAGCACCCAAAGTGTGTATCCCATCCCTTCTGTGCAAAGGCAGCTATATTTTGATTTATATTAAAGTGGAGTTCCATCCATTTTGATATTCTCCTGTGATCACAATGCCCACCCACAGTACAGTCGGAAATTTTTTATTTTTTTTCTTAAATTATTATTTCTAAATACCTTTTTTTTTTATGTATGTTGGTGGCACTTCCAGTCCCGGCTGCCCAGGTGATGTCATCATTAGGCGATTCCCAAACACTTCTGGGATATCTGCATCCTCTATCCCAGAAGTCTTTGGGAATCCTAATGGCTGAAATTTAGATTGACAGGTTGCCATAACAATTTGGCGGAAACTTCTATTGAAACTGCCATTGCTATGGCAACCTGTAATCAACAAAGTGTGCCATGCAGTGTCATTACTGCACAGGCATGAGATCGGGAGGTGCATGCTGCATAGCCAGCTGCACCGAATTTCGGAAATAAATAGGAGTGGGCTTCAGATGCCCACATCAGAGATGGCCGCTGCCTGCTGGGATCATGTAAGTAATCGAAGATTTAAAACTACAGAGCATGAAGACACTAATTACAATATCCAAATTATACAGCAGGAGTAATAAGAATCACGGGGGTAAAAAATTGCTTAGGAGATTGGAGCTCCACTTTAACAAATAAACTCATCAATATTTTTCACCCAAGATTCACACAACTCTCACCCAAGATTCACCCCTTTTTCTAATAGAATCTTATATTAAAAATCTGTAAATCTTGGGTGAAAACATTTAAAAATAGACTCCTAGGCGTTGTGACTAAAGCAGATTATACACTTTACAATGTATGTGTGCAATCTCCTTTAGATTCACCAAAATATATAAAGTGAGAACCTACCAAAACAACCTATTAAATTTTGTTTTGAATCAGGCAAGTTTATGCACTACTACTAGCTGTTGGTAGAGCTGAAAAAAAAAAACAAAAAAAAAACCAAACTTGTGTATGGTGAGATTTAAGCTGGCCATGCATAAAGAAAAGTTTAGCCAGTTCAGTTTAGCCAGCCTTTGATTGAAAAATTAAGGGAGCCAGCAGTAGATCCTCAGTTGAACTGCACCTGCATCTATTCAGATGCAGGTACTGTTCAGGTATTTTGACAACCAGTGGGGCCAACTGTCAAAATACAATAGCTGCTATATTCATCCTTGTGTGCTGTTTAGCAGGCAATTAGGAATCTGTAGATTTTTTTAATTAAGTCTGTAGGCTTTATTTAAAAAAAAAGATGTTTAACTGTCTGGTTTCTTCAGTTTAGCAGTGCAAGAAGCAATGCAGATGTGCATGGTCTGTTAGCATACACAAATCATATCAATAAAAGATCACTTCTTAGTGATTAATATGGTCAAACATTGCTCTTTGCCTTTAGTGCCTAATATCAAATGTTTTTCCAAATCATAATAGTCCTTTTTTAAACAAAATCTGCCCTTTTGTAGCTTTACTTTCCCAATACTCTTCCAGCTCAGTCACTTTTTTCAGCTGTTGCTTAAAATATCATCTTGCGCAATCCCTTTCCGTTCATTCTTCCTTCACAACACCTCCAGGTAAATACTTTTATCTCTGACTCATTCCCAAACTCTGTCACTACCTGACCTATTGACCACAGGGCTATTTCCTGCTGCTGCTTTTCCAATATTTGTTCTAAGAGAAACATAATTGTAGCAGTAATGCTAGATGTGGACACATCCGTTTCTTCGTATGGATGGATCCTTTACAGAGCTGCTGCCACCTACACACCAGTACACCATAAACAAGCACTTTAAAGTGCAAGATATGTTAAATTTACTTTGTGATGTAGATTGTGCATGTACAAGAAGGAATGGCTCATTGCCGTAAGCAGTGTGAAGCTACACAGTGTTGGAGGCAAAATAGGAAACGTTCTCTTGATAAACTTCAAATACCTTTTATTATTCTTAGAGCAACTTCAAATATCATAGCGTATATAATCACAGAGCATCATTTTTTATATTTCATTATTTTCATGTATATGCATATAGTTGGAAAATATCAATTCTCTGGAACTTTTTTATTTATTTTGTCGTCCCTGCCCTCAAGGAGCCTCAAATCCAAGGTCCCTAATTCTCATTTATACATACAATACACATACTAGGGCCAATTTAAGCAGAAGCTTTGGCGTGTAGGAGGAAACCGGAGTACCTGGAGAAAACCCATACAGACACAGGGAGAACATGCAAACTCAGTTGCTGGCAGTGCCATGGTTGGGACCGTATTTTATAGCAGTTTTTGGTGTTTACCTTAAGAGTAGAAGGTTTGACAGTTTTTGTAAACGTACAATTTTATGGCCTAAACAAAATTTTTAGAACACATTTGCTGATTATTTAGAGCTGCTCTGTTTGTTCTGTTCATAAGGTAACCTGCTGTTATTGGTCCTCCCAAAAACAGGTGTCTGCAGATTCCAGCTCTTCAATGAATTCTGGAGTAATATTGGTTAGGCCTTCTCGGCTGTCATCAAGTGGAACACCAATGTTAGCTGGTGTATCTGAATATGAGCTTCCTGAAGACCCCAGATGGGAAGTAGCAAGGGACAGGTGAGGTTTTTTTTTTTTTAATTTTGCTCTATCTTATTACTGTTCATCCACATATGTTTTACAAAAACAATTATGTTTTTACATAGGTTAATTCTTGGAAAGCCACTTGGAGAAGGCTGTTTTGGTCAAGTAGTTATGGCAGAGGCTATCGGGTTAGACAAGGAAAAACCAAACAGGGTCACAAAAGTTGCAGTCAAAATGCTTAAATGTAAGTTTGATCTTTTCATCAAGAGTTTAACAAGTTGAAGACCTCTTTTTCTCCCTATGACGTTATGTTTGGCAGGGAGTGTACTTTCTCCCTTTGAGAACTGCAACAATATTTCAGTTGTTTCATTTTGTGTAACCCTACAAACAGCCAAGACAGCACAAAACAATGACAATTCCTGCACAAATGATGACGGGGCAGACATACTGTCCCCGTTTCAAACATTCATGTTGCAGCAGGGAGCTTTACTGCACCTGCTATAACACCTGAAGAAAGCAGGTTGAACCTCCCAGGAGGGCATGGGACTTTATTGCACCACTAGAAAAGCATGGAACGTTATCTGACGTTCACACAAATAAAGCCTTCATGACTACTGATGTTCCTGTGTTAGCAGGGATCCCGCGTAATGAAAGGGAGCATAATATCTGAAAGACAAATGGGCCAATGAAATCTATGGTTCCATAACCAGCTTGATGGCTATAGGTTGATCATGTATCTTCTAAAATATAGAATATGAGTAAAATATTGCAGAAAAGTTTAACACAATGCTCCCAGGCCCAGTGATTACCATGACTGCATCAAAGCACTGAGGTCATGAGTTTAAATCCATCCAAGGCACGGTCTGTATAGGTTTTCTGCTTCCTCTCTAGGTATGTGTGAGATTCTTCTAAAAACATGCTTGCTGACATTGAAATTAGGCCTAGACTGTTGATGGTGCTGGTGGGATTGTAGTACAGATATTTGATTTGTGGGCTCCACTAGGACAGGATGTGATCAGAATGGAGATCAATTCTATGAGGTCAGTAAGCCCCTATACCGCTCGTCCAGGTCTTCCTTCTCTCTCTTCCCTTCTTTTTTTTTTTTTTCACATTTTCTTCTCTTTCCTACTTCTTACTGCTCCTTCCTATGGTGTTTCTTCTCATTTATTTTTATTTTCATGTTAGAGTCCCATAGTTGTGCTTCCATAATTTATGGCACGTGGGAGTTACATAGTCCATCTCTGCACTAACCTCTTAGGCTTATTCGCACAGACGTATGTGAACATATCAATATATTCTTCATTAACATAGAGCATTTTATCTCTTCAATGGGAGACTACTGATCTTTTATTACTATGTTGATGTTAATCTTCTTCTATTTCATACTGCTTACTGAGACCTGTATTGATGATGCTAGGCCAAGGTTTTTGCGTACATTTTGTGTGCACACAGTAATTTATATCCCTTAAAACAATAAAAAGATTAAAAGAATAATGTAGATAATACAATAATTGCTTGCAAATACAGATAATAAGAGTAATATTATGTATAACTACTATAACCACTAATAACAAAGCAATTTGTTTGTTTCAGCTGATGCAAGTGAGAAGGACCTGTCAGACCTTATTTCAGAAATGGAAATGATGAAAATGATCGGAAAGCACAAAAATATCATCAATCTTCTTGGGGCCTGCACTCAGGATGGTAAGTCCCAGTGCAGTTATAACAGTGGAAATGCTTAATAAGAGACTGTGTTAAATCTTATAGTGTGGCGCACTGTCCTTACCCCAACAACCATTTTAAATAAAAATTGTTTTGATTTCTACTCGGAGATAACAGCTTTACTAGAGATGGTTGAGAACTGTTCAGAGAAAGATGTCCTGCCTTCAACATGCTATTGGCTGATCTCTGTTACTCAATTATTTGCAATAGACTCCATTTTCCTTTTCACCTTCTCCCAGGGTTTATGGTAGAAAAGATTGGAGGGGAGTAGTTGTAAAGGTAACTCTCAATGTCCTATGTTGGGAATCACCACTGGGGATCACAGGTTTACAGTGATAATCAGTCTTGTGCCAGTATTTCTCCAGTATATCTTGTGCCAGTTGAACTCCAGGGAGATACAGTATAAAAGGTACAAAGAAATGAAGATCTAGATTTGTGTGGGTTATTTTTTTTTTTGTTTTTGTATTTTTTTTTTTTTTTTATGCAAGCAGTGTAAGTGCCTGAATCGGCCTTGGTGTCTGCCTTTTGCAGTTTACCACACAACAGAGCACAGACATGGGGTGGGAAAAGCAGCACAAGCAACCAGTCAGTTGTGCTGCAGTGCTCATGTGACAGGAGAGACCAGTATGACACATTTAATCTGATCGGTTTGTGGATTCTTTTTTCATTGACCAGTCAAAGGCTGGGGGTGGAGCAATCATACTACGGTAATGTAAACGATAGTACACAGCTTTCAAGAGCCAATCATGACCGTTAATGCAAAATTATCTGATGGAGCAAGGTCAAAATTTTTTCTCAACCAAAAACAGGACAAACGGTTTTCATTTAAGCAGCATAGTATTCATTCATAAAAAAAATTGAGTGACCAAGATCGCGCATGCGCATGACCAAGATCGCGAATACATTACATTTCAATACAATATAATATATCACATCATCTCGGGAACTCTAGTAACCCATTAGTTTTCAATATGAGACTAGCATGCAAAAAAAAGAACGATTGTCTGATATTCTCATCATGTGTATTAGGCTTTAGTGTTAACTGCAGACAAGTCTGCTCTGACAGACAAGGCTGTGCTGTATGACAGAGCTGTGTATACAGTATCTTAGAAGTGGATGAACAGATATTCAAATAATTTTGCAGTTAAAACTGCTCCTTTTACATGTATATATATTATCTGTGTTTAGCTATTTGCTTGGAGTTCAGCTTTAAGTATCAAGAAACGTTGACTTTTTTTTTTTTTTTTTCCTTCCCTGGTACATGAAACTCATGAGCTTTGACTAACTTGATTTACTGGTATAGGCTGCTTAGAATCCTATTTGCATGCACTGAATCCTATTGTGATTATTCTAGGCCCTTTATATGTGATCGTTGAATATGCTGCTAAAGGGAATCTCCGAGAATATCTTCGAGCAAGGCGTCCACCTGGTATGGAATATTGTTACAACCCTAGCTGTGCCCCCGATGAGCAGCTCACCTTTAAAGACCTGGTCTCCTGTGCCTATCAGGTGGCACGAGGCATGGAATACCTGGCTTCCAAAAAGGTAGCAAACTCTTTTTGACACATCTGTTTTAGCCCTTATGTTAGTGCTGTAAGTGGATTGACCCCTCATGCATTTTGCTTAAATTGGAGAAGCTGAACAGAAAATAAATCTATAAAGTTTTAGCAACCTTGTGAATCCCATCAAGAACACAAACACACAAAACAGGACATCTTATCTGAGATAACCAACATTAAAATGAGTGTTGCTCCCCTTTTCAGTGCATCCACAGAGATCTGGCTGCTCGGAATGTTCTCGTAACAGAGGATAATGTCATGAAAATTGCTGATTTTGGCCTTGCTCGTGATATCCACCATATTGATTATTACAAAAAGACAACAAATGTAAGTATTGTTTTCATTGGTGCTGATAAATGTTTCTCTACTGAACCACGATCATGTTCTAACCTCTGCTACCTGACCCTCAATATGCTTTTGTTGCTCATGTTATTTGATGCCATTATATAGGGTTTTTTTTTAAAGCACTTAGAAAAGGGGGGCACCAATAAATTGCAAGTCTTGATTATGTTCCTAGTGCTCTACAAAGCCAAGAGATCCTTGTGTTATTGAAGCATTGGGGGGTAATATCTGAAATATTGCCTCAAAAAATTTAAAATGTTGAACACCTAAAGGATTTAGGTTTCCTTGGTTTGCTGACCAATACCATTTTGAAGTCACATTGATTATAGCATTGCCCTCCGAACCTATGGAATTCCAGGTTTCCTCCTATTTGCCTGGCTTTGCCAGTGCTAATTGTTTAGATCGTATAGTGTATTTTACTTATCTACACAGAAGCTACTTCACTAAAATGTTATCTGGAAACATGGAGGATAGTGTGCTATTTCGACATGTAAGTAATCAGTGTCTTGGTATAACAGAGGGTTGATGTCTGAATTTGTTGACAGGGCCGCTTGCCGGTAAAATGGATGGCTCCTGAAGCTCTATTTGACCGAATCTACACTCATCAAAGTGACGTGTAAGTATGTTGTGTATTATTTATTGATATAAGCAGAGCATGAGCCAAATGGTTTTAATGTATCTTTCATCTGTGCTCAGCAGTTTTTACAGTTAATTGCAGAATGTGACGCAGATAGGGATACATGTATCATGCATGTGTTTTTTGGAAAGTGTTCAAAGTGTACACTTTGGAATTCTTTGTTCTTTCTTAGATTTAGCTGTAAATCGTTTTCTGCCAAGGCATTCAGATTGCTAATCTATCATAAAATCAGACCCATGCTCACAATGCAGTCCATGAGTTGCTGAATATGACATCCTGTGTATATTAAAAAAAAAAAAAAAAAAAAAAAAAAGCCTTTGTTGCTAGTCCTATATAGACTGGCAGAAAATTCATTATTTCAGTATAGATGAAAAATTTTTAGGCATTGAGCTGCACTATCTGCTGTCATAATCACAGTACCTCAACTATTTTTCTTTGTGAAAATGGTTCTATGCTGCCCACAGATACATACGGATTGGAAGCTTTCTCTTCTAAATATAATTGTTCAGTGCAAGTTTTGATCTTTTGGTGGCTGATGGAAAACGGCTAAGCTGAGTTTCTGGCAAGTAAAACATGGTTAAAATACATATTTGGGTACTGGTTTACCTGCCAAAGAATTTCTAATTAAAATGGAACTAAAAGCTCTTTTTTTAAATTGCCAGGAGGTAGTCTTTTATTGCAGAAGAGACTCTTGTCTCCTCTGCAAACAAAGCTCATTTTCTTCCTGCCAGCATGTTTCTTTTAGTTATACACTGAGCCACGAATCCACAGCTTAGTATACATTCTTAGCATGCTGTGGGTGCTGGAACAAAGTAAGTCTCATACGGGAGTTAGGTCATTTCAGGCCAGTCAATCAGTACAACTGCACACTCTGGACCCAGAAGAAGTCTAGGATCAGATTTCGGCAGTGATGGAATGATGATGGTGAGCATGCATGTTGCTTCACTGGAGGAAGGCACTTTCGGAGACATGTTTACTATAATTAACAAATATGCTATATATTTGTGCACATTATGACAGAAGCCCATGCCAACCTGAAATATTTTTGTAGTACAGCCGGGTTTATGATCAGACACCACTGCCAGAGCACAGCCAGTAAATCGGTTGTCCTAAAGCTGCACAGTTTGGTCAAGAACACCCCCAGCCTGCTAGTTGGACAATGAAGAATTGCAGTACAGGGTTTGGTTATATGGTAACTTCCTTAACGTATAAGTTGACATTCCCAGTGGTAATGAGGGGTGAAGACTCAGCTCCTTGCACAGATCAAAAGGGCTGGGACAGTGATGATAATGGGGGATTTTTATTTTCCGGAAATTGACTGGAGTAATGGTTTTGCAGGAACAGTTAAAGGGCAAACATTTTTAAACCCACTACAGGGCAATTTTATGATACAGTTCATAGAGGCCCAAACTAGGAATGATGCTCTGCTGGACCTGGTAATCTCAAACCATGCAGAGCTTATTACAAATGTCCATATAAAAGAACATCTGGGTAGCGGTGACCATAACATGATTTTGTTTATTGTTACATATGAAAGCACATATGAAAAAAATAAAAACTCTCAATTTTAAGAGAACTAATTTTCCAAGGCTGAGAGTTGCTCTCCAAGACTGACTCGGAGGGAATATTGGCATCAATAAACACAACACAGAAATGGGAGGTCTGCATAAAGACTGCATGTGAACACACTGCAAAATATATTACCATGGGCAACAAGTTTAAAAGGCTAAAAATCAAACCTATGTGGCTTACGGCCAAAGTTAAAAAACCTATAGATAATAAGAAAAGAGCTTTTATTGAATATAAAAATGAAGGCATGCAAATGGATAGAAAACTGGCTAAAAGATTGTATTCAGAGAGTAGTGTTTTAATGATTCATACTCTGAATGGTCTAGGGTTGTCAGTGGTGTACCCCAAGGTTCAGTGTTGGGACCCTTACTTTTTAATATATTTATAAACAATATAGGGTCTGGGATTAAAAATCCCATTTCAGTCTTTGCAGATGACACCAAGCTGTGCAGTGGAATAATGTCCTTACAGGATGTCTCCAACTTACAAGCCGACCTCAATGCACTGTATAATTTGGCAACTATGTGGCAGATGAGGTTTAATGTTGATAAATGTAAGGTTATGCACTTGGGGGCTAAGAATATGCATGCATCATACATACTAGGGGGGGTACAACTGGGGGAATCAATGGTGGAGAAGGATCTGGGAGTTCTGGTAGATCACAAGCTTAATAATGGCATGCAATGCCAAGCTGCAGCTTCTAAAGCGATGAAAATCCTCTCTTGTATTAAGAGGTATAGACTCCAGAGAGAGAGATATCATATTACCCCGGTACAAATCATTAGTAACACCTCATCTGGAATATGCAGTTCAGTTTTGGGCACCAATTCACAAAAAGAACATTGGGGAACTGGAGAAAGTATAAAGAAGGGCAACTAAACTGATAAGAGGCATGGAGGAGCTCAGCTATGAGGAAAGATTAGAGGAACTGAATTTATTCTCTCTTGAGAAGAGGAGATTAAGGGAGGATATGATCTCCATGTATAAATATATCAGTAGTTCATATAGTGAACTCGGTGTAGAGTTATTCACCCTGAGGTCATCACAGAGGACAAGGGGGCACTCTACATCTGGGGGAAAAGAAATGAAATTTAATCTCCAAACACAGAAAGGTTTCTTCACAGTGAGAGCTGTGAAAATGTGGAATAGTCTCCCTCAAGAGAGTTGGTTCTGGCCAGCTCAGTGGATTGCTTTAAAAAAGCCCTGAATTATTTCCTAGATACACAGAATATAACTGGTTACTAACATTTATAAGTAAATTTGATCCAGGGAATATCTGATTGCCTCTCGGGGGATCAGGAAATAATTTTTTTTCCCTGCAGGAGCAAATTGGATCATGCTTTGCTGTTTTTTTTTGCCTTCCTCTGGATCAACTGCGGGTATTGGATTATAATTTTTTTTTTTTTTTTTTAACGGGGTAACTGGATGAACTTTTGTCTTATTTTTTCAGCCAGAATAACTATGTAAAGGGTAACTCCACTTTCATGGGAAAAATAGCAAATAAAAAAAAAATATAGAGTTTACTATTGTGACTCAAGTCATTGCATACGAATGTTATTAAAAATGACCTTTACTTTTCAATCTGCAGCACTGTTATTTTCTGCAAAATGCAATATGGCTATGTGAAGACATTCTGTGCGCATATGGTGTACAGAACACCCCCTGAAAATGTAATTTCCTGCTTGTGTGATTGGCTTACTGATTTTCCCAGAAGTCTGCACTAAGATGCAGACCCTGCCACTTTCTTCATTAGAGCCCTGCAGGTGCAGAATCTGATTAATAATTATAAAATCACTCCCATACAGATTCACCCTCCACATGGACAGAAATTGCTATTTCTTCACAATAACAAACAGTAGGATTCTGAAACAAAGTCTAACATCCTTGCAATGTACATAGATCACCCAGAGGGGAATGGTTTTTTTTATGTTTTCAACAAAAGTGGAGTTACTTTAAGTATTCCAGTGATAGTATGCAAACATAACATAGAGCTTCCTAGTGCCACATCCTAAAAGATGTAAGAAAAATATTGCTGGACAGAAATTGTATGGCCAAGCTAGAAAATTTTTAAGGCACAGTAAGAGATAACACCATCATGTAAAATTATCACAGTTTGTTCACATAAAATAGTCACAGAAAATATGTTTGACGGAAACAATCCGTACATAAACCCAGATACATGAAGGGGGAATAGAAGATTAGTACATTGCCTATCCCCTGACATATGACACGTCGCCTATCGCACAATTGTTGGTTCCAGTAATAAAGTAGAAAAGTAGAAAACAGTCAACGCGTTTCGCCTGTACTTCTACCTTCTTCAGGACTGTAACTTCTATATAAGGGAACGCAGTACTGCTGCATATAAAATATAAAGAAAAACAAACAATGTATACATACACACCATCAATTATGTACAATACAATAAAAAAGACATATAATGAACAAATGATAATCATCGGCTTATTAGTATTGTTGACATTGGAAAGAAGTCTAATGGAAAAAGTTTCAATGTATAGACTTCCAGATCACAGAGCCAAGGTTATAATCAAACAGGAGCCCAGCGTCTATAGTGGTGTATATAAAGGGTATCACCTATATTGCCATAAAACAAAGTAAAACACTCAGGAAATGTACAAATGACCCATAAGGATAATAACCCACTGTATATGGCAGTACTAGGGTCGTTGCTTCGAATCCCAACCATGACATGCTGGTAGGTGAATTGGCTCCTGTCTAAATTGGCCCTAGTATGTGTATGTATGAATGTAAGTTGGGGACCTTAGATTGTACACCCCTTGAGGGTTAGGGACTGATGTGAATGTACAATACATATGTAAAAGCTCTGCGTAAATTGACGGCACTATATAAGTACCTGTAATAGTATATACTGCTGTATATAGTACTACACTTTGAGCAGTGATCCAGATGAAGAAACGATGTGATATGCTTGCACCAAATCCTTATACAAGTCCCTATGAAAAGGACAATGAATAGCACATTAGACCAGTGAAACCACCAAACCCGTGTACATAATCCTACAATGGGGCAAAGGGAATTGTAGCAGCCCATACCAAAGTCCGTCACCAAGCCCAGCAAATGTAGTGCTCCCACCGCACCAGTTGTAGCTGGCCGCGTGTGAATCACTGCAGCCAGTCGCCATGATGGCGCAGACTGTGTCCGCCTTAAATGTGGCTGCGTGAGTGATGTCAGATGCACGTCACACCAATGGGGCAATGCACATGCGCCAAAAAGCCAATGTCGCAGGCGCACTGACAGGGAACATGGCGGCCAGCCCCCAGAGGAATCGGGGACACAGCAAGCCTCCCCATTGTCGCAATCCCAATCTGGGACAGTGGGCAGACAGGACATATATGCCCGCCCCGAGACCAACACTCACGGCCACCGCCACCTACAAAAGACCGAAAGCCCAGGACAGCACAACAACAAACATTTTTTTTTTGCATGATACATATCAAGTTGATAATTACAACAAGATGCGTAAAACACGCAAATCAATCCAAATCCATAGCAAAAACACATACAATTAAACAGCTTGATATTGGACGCTTCTCATAGCATATCAAAGAAAGGATGGTAATAGAGTAAGTGTGATAACAAACCCACAATATTGAATAGATTATAAACAAGGTTTATAACTCAATTTCTTTTAAACCAGGGAGTGTGGTAGTCTTTGGACGATATATCCAACGTGCTTCTCGCTGCAAGATATACAGTCAGGTCCATAAATATATACTGGCAGAGCATCACCAGGGATGAAACCCAGCGTCTGGTGATGTCTGAGTTCCAGACTTCAGGCTGTAATTGACTGCAAAGGATTTGCAACCAAGTATTAAAAAGTGAAAGTTTGATTTATGATTATTATTATGTCTCATTACTTTTGGTCCCTTAACAAGTGGGAGGCACATATGCAAACTGTTGTAATTCCTACACCGGTCACCTGATTTGGCTGTAAATACCCTCAAATTAAAGCTGACAGTCTGCAGTTAAAGCACATCTTGTTCGTTTCATTTCAAATCCATTGTGGTGGTGTACAGTGCCAAAAATGTTAGAATTGTGTCGATGTCCCAATATTTATGGACCTGACTGTATTTATCAAAATTACCTCCTCTTGGGTTTTCTTTTATGCATTCCAGTGCAGCAAGCCTCACTACCTCACTGTTTATTTTCATGGCATAGTCCCACATTTCTCCCTATTGGGGTAGATAATAAATTAAAATGCCCACATAGAATTCTCCGCATTGACAGAACGTGATGTAAACAATAGTTTGACAATCCACATAATGTCTAATAGAGTGAAGTGGGCCATAAGGCAAGTACAATGATTGATTTTCATACATCCAATTACAGAAATTGCATTTACAACATTTCCAAGTACCACATACCTGATGGTCCTTTTTGGGTCCTGCCTGTTCAAAATGGCTCCTAGTAATTCTGTCTCTAATGGACTGGGCTCTCTTGTAGGTAGTTTCTGGATAATCCTTAACATATTTTTTGAGGAAAGTATCATGAGAGTAGCCTCAGTCCACTCCTTGTGAAAGTCCCCAACACTTTTGGATGGCCTATTCCTGACAATCCTCTCCAGGCTGCGGTCATCCCTGCTACTTGTGCACCTTTTTCTTCCACACTTTTCCTTCCACATAACTTTCTATTAATGTACTTTGATACAGCACTTTGGGAACATCCAACTTCTTTTGCAATTACCTTCAGAGGCTTTCCCTCCTTATGGAGGGTGTCGATGGTTTTCTGCACAAATGTCAGGTCAGCAGTCTTTCACATGATTGTGATTCCTACTGAACCAGACTGAGAGACCATTTAAAGGCTCAGGAACCCTTTGCTTAATTAGCTGATTAGAGTGGGACACTGCGAGCCAAGAATATTGCACCTTTTTACAATATTCTAATTTTCTGATATTGTGGATTTGGGGTTTTCATGAGCTGTAAGCCATAATCATCACAATTATGACAAATCACAGCTTGAACTATCTTGCTTTGCATGCAATAGAATGTTAGAATGTGTTCCAATAGAGCCAGTATGAAATCGCTATATACATATGCTTCCTGAGGTCTCTCTAAGGAAGCATTTGATCACAGAGAGGCCTTTAGAATGAGGTATACTGCTGTACAGAGCTTCTACATCAATCGCAGCCAATTTTGTATTAGGGGGCTCCTGTATCCCTTCCAGATGCTTAAGTAGACCCAGAGTATCTTGAATATAAGATGGTACTGTTGTAACATGAGGATGCAAATATGCATCAACCAAACGACTAACTAATTCAGTATAGGATCCAATGCCTGAACCTATTTGAAATTGTGCTATAGGTGATGTGCCATATGTCAAATGATTGGCGATGTACTAATCTTCTATTCCCCCTTTTGTGTGTCTGGGGGTTATGTACATATTGTTTGTTTCAAACATATTTTATGTGAATATTTTATGTGAATAAACTGTGATAATTTTACATGATAGTGTGGTCTCTTACTGTGCCTTAATAATCCGCTAGCTTGGCCATACAATTTTTGTCTGGCAATATTTTTCTTTCAGTGATGGTATGCCTCACACACCTGCTCTACTGGAGTTTTAATTTTTTGGTTTATATTACAGAGCATGTAGTTCAGTGACATTGGGTCTTCTGCACTAATGACATGGATTATTACAGGTGGTCCTTTGGGGTATTACTGTGGGAAATTTTTACACTTGGAGGCTCGCCATATCCTGGTGTCCCTATGGAAGAACTTTTTAAGTTACTAAAAGAAGGACATCGGATGGACAAGCCCACAAATTGCACCAATGAACTGTGAGTACTGAATATTTTCTGCATGTTTGCTGTCACTGTTCTGTTACTAATCCTAAGAATTAGAAAAAACTTCAGAAGTAGACGATAGGTGAGGATGGGTTCTGTTTAAAAATGTTTTCCAATCATATTGTAAAACGTCTTTAACTAGCTGCCGACCGCAGATAGCCGAATGATGGCTACACTGCGGCCGGCCAGTTCTGAGTGGACGTCATATGACGTCCTCCCAGAACGCGCTCTCCTGCGCGCCCCAGGGGGCGCGCACCCGGCGATCTCCGTGATCGCTGTGTCCTACGGACACAGCTGATCACGTGATGTGGTAAAAGGCCAATCACAGCGGCCTTTTACCACATGATCAGCGGTGTCCAATGACACGCTGATCAGAGGGAAATGCAAGTGCCGGTTCTCGGCTGCACTTTCCTCACACTGTCATATCGTGAGGAAAGTACTGCTGAGAACCGGCAGTTGTCAGAGCGGGGATCGGCACCGATCATCAGGGCACTGATGATCAGTGCCCTGATGATCGGTGCCCAGCAGTGCCACCCGCAAGTTCCGCCCACCTGTGCACAGCAGTGCGCCCACTAGCTCCGCCCACCTGTGCCCAGCAGATCACCCACCTGTGCCCAGCAGTGCACCCACCTGTGCCCAGCAGTGCACGCACCTGTGCCACTCTGCAGTGCCACCCACCTGTGCCACTCTGCAGTGCCACCCACCTGTGCCCACCAGTGCCACCCACCTGTGCCCACCCACCAGTGCTGCCCACCAGTGCAGCCCGTCAGTGCCGCCAGTCAGTGCCCAGGGGTTGTGCCAGTCAGTGCCGCCAGTCAGTGCCCAGGGGTTGTGCCAGTCAGTGCCGCCAGTCAGTGCCCAGGGGTTGTGCCAGTCAGTGCCGCCAGTCAGTGCCCAGGGGTTGTGCCAGTCAGTGCCGTCTATCAGTACCCATCATCAGTGTCACCTATCCGTGACACCTCATTAGTGCTGTCTATCAGTGCCGCCTATCCGTGCCACCTCATTAGTACTGCCTATCAGTGCCCTTTAGTGCTGCCTATCAGTGCCCATCAGTGCTGCCTCATCAACGCACATCAGTGAAGGAGAAAAATTACCTGTTTGAAAAATTTTATAATAGAAACAAAGAAACTTTTTCTTTTTTTTGCACTTTTTTTTATTTATAGCGCAAAAAGTAAAGCGCCCAGTGGTTATTAAATACCACCAAAAGAAAGCTCTATTTGTGAGAAAAAAAATGATCAAAATTTCATATGGGTACAATGTTGCATGACCGCGCAATTGTCAATCAAAGTGCGGCAGCGCTGAAAGCTGAAAATTGGCCTGGTAAAGAAGGGGGTATAAGTGCCTGGTAGGCAAGTGGTTAAGGATACCTGAGAGAAATATTTGCGATTTCTTACCTAGCTTTTGAAAATACTAGTTGCTTGTTTTATTATTCCTTACTTTTTAATGTTTTGACGTTACTGGGAAATAACTGGCTGCATACATGTTAATTCTACACATTTTAATTATGTTAATTATATTTTGTAAAAGCAAAACCTATGTTTGCAATTATGACCCAAAGAATAGAAGAAATCTTTTTGTTGAGTCTGTTGCAAAATATATTACCTGCCAGTTACTGTGCTATCCCTTTCAGGTGGACAACAGTAAGCTGCTGCTTTGCAATTAGCAGCAATATTGCCAGCTTGCTGTACAATCTTTGTGTTGGCCATTCTGCCTATCATAACTGCAAAGGGCATGCATGGTTCTCATAGGCTGCCCAACCACCCAATGAAAGAGTTTGCAGACTGGCAAGACTACCGCTAATTGAAAGGAATCAGCTTAGCTGTATTAGTCTGAAACAGGAAGTGGTATTAATGGAATGATCTACAGGTAATAATCTTTGCAGCAGTTGGGCTGGGTATTGGGTGGCTGTTCCACTTCTAATATACAATTTCTTTATCTGTTTAATTCATCTCTTTTCAAGATATAAAATATTCTTTAAAACCTCCTGGAGCACTTTTGTGCTGTGTTGTGACCTTTCTTCATTCAGAAAAAGCAACACAAAATTACAGTAGGCACCTACGACACTGCATTGTGTATTAAAAAAAAAAAAAACCCCAAAAAAACTACAGGTTCAGTGTTTGCCATTGCTGTGTTTTGGTAGACTGTTCAAAATGAAGGGGCTGCCTTATCCCCACCATCGATTGGCATGCTTTCATTAAAGCACCACAACAGAGCTTGCAGTCTTAAGAAGAGTTAGTCTATCCAGAGCTGATGTTTTTGACACTTGTTAATGTATTAATTAGCTAATGCATCATACAGTACACCCAAAATTCACTGTTTAAATAATTGCCCCATTTTGTTATTGAACTAAAATTTAATGGATTACTGTCTAATTAGGAAGCTGTTTTAACCACCATGATCCATTTATCATAGATGGTTAAAAAAACTGGCATTTTGCTCACAACAAACCAGTATTGTGTTTTATAATCTTCTAGATTTGTTGACTGTTCCTTTTTATGTTGTAATATTTCACCAGGTACATGATGATGAGAGACTGTTGGCATGCGGTGCCATGCCAGAGACCCACCTTTGTACAGCTGGTGGAAGATCTGGACCGTATAGTGGCCCTCAGTTCTAACCAGGTAAATGTCATGTTGCAAGTGGGTGCTGAGCTCAAGCACATTAATACGTAATCATACTGTATAATACATAAATAACTCTGTGCTTTCTCTTTTCCATAGGAGTACCTTGATCTGGCCATGCCAGTGAGTCAGTATTCTCCATGTTTCCCAGACACAAGAAGCTCCACGTGTTCTTCAGGGGAAGATTCTGTTTTTTCTCATGATCCGTTACCAGATGAGCCTTGTCTTCCCAAATACCCCAATGGAGGACTTAAAAAACGCTGACCATCTAATCAGAGGTTCACTCTCTGACTTTTTATAACTTTCATGCATTCCCCAAAAATGAACATTAATTCTACATTTTAGTTCCCAAGAACCATGGTACGATTCCAGATCATGTTTTCAGTCTTACCTCATACTTTGAAGGACCTCTGGGATTCTGATATTTGAAGTGGAAAAAAGACCAAGTATTGCATACCTTATAGCCTGTGTCCACACTAATATACTCTGGTGACAGTGTAGGTACAATGATGTCAACTTATAAGGAAATCTCATCCATCACACTAATCTAAGGAATGCCAACTGTCCTTAAGTGAACTGTTTGGATCTTTGAGGTCATTTAAATGCCACCTCAGGATATTGCCTCCTAGCTTATCTTTTTCAGAGACTTTGACTACAGTTCATATTGATGTTGCACTTGGCCATTTTAAGCATTCATTTGGAGCATGCCTTAACCTTAAAAAACATTTGGAGATCAAGATAATGTAGCCCATAGTTGAAGTACTCCAAATCGCGTTTGGATAAGCTCTTCCTGTCAAGATGCACCACAAATGTCTTCTGTCCACAATTAGTTGAACTGGCTGATACATGCAGAAACACTAATGAGGACATCATTATGCTTCATATTTGAATGTCTACGTCTTAACAAATTGAAGGAATGTTTTTAAAGCACCTATCACAAGTGGACTATGCCTAAATCTTGAACATCGACTTTTAACTTCTGCTGGCCAGCTAACGGTACAAAGAATAGACCAGTTCACTTGCTGCTGGTTTTCTTGTTTGTCTGATCTAGGCCTGTGTCTCAACTCTTGCCTAAAATCCTGCTTGTCTTATAGTTCTTTTAATAAATCTTATAGGTCAGACAAACAGCCGGAGGGAATGTATTGGAGATATTGGTCTAGTTCACATTATTCTGAAAAATGGGAGATGTTATTTCCTTTTAACAGGTTTCAAGCTAATTGTAATATAAATATGGGTAGCAGAACCCGTTAATGCTTTCCTTGTGTATATAGCTAGAAAATGTATAAATATGAATTATATATTTACATGTCTTTTTAAGAAAAAAAAAAAGTTATGAAATATATACCAGTTTGGTAGTAAAGTGGCTGGTAGCTGTCAGTTGCTATAAACAAAAAAAATCATATATTTTGCTACATTTTCAGTTTGTATTTTTTTTTTAAATTATGTTCTAAGATTTTCTTATTTCCAGTACAAGTCCCTTAATAAAGAGAATCGGCTTCAGTTGATGTTTTTATATATGGTTTCTACTTTTTTAATTGGAGGTACATTTCCTGTGGTTTTATATTTTATTACTTTTTTCCTTTTGTTTTTTATTTTTGTTTTTTTTTATTATTTTAATTCAATGTATATTTTGTTCATGTGTGGGTCATTTCTCTTTTCATTGCTTGAGGTTGAAAAAATTACACAGTCCCTGCAAATAGATGATCCATTCCTCTTTCTGGCAAAGAAAGAGGCATGTGTAGAGACTTGGGTCATATGGACTCTTTTCCATGAGGCTCTATGAGAGGCTCCCCAGAAGAACAAAGCCAAGTCTCTTCCCTTCTAGACCACTTTTAGGGCTCGTTTGCACTTGTGGTTGTGAGACAGCAAACACAGTTGGCTTCGCAAGTACACATACTTTGAGTTTAACAGGGGCCATGATCACTGACGTAAGCCTTACAAAAAGGACAGCAAAAGGGCTAAAGAAACTTTCTAAAAAAAAAAAAAAAAAAATACATTATGTTCTATACTGTATATACAGTATGTGAGGACTCAAACTACATTTTACAAATCTAAAACAGGGTAATCATTCTTATTTAAATAGTTATTTTACACTGCGTTCAATGAGATTTGAAATTTACAGACATAGGTAAAAACAAAATCCTAGTGTAAAGCTTTGAGTATTGAGGCTATTCTGTAAATTATATAAAATTACCTTTCCATGTCATTCTGCTCCTCTTCTGATGTTCTAAGTGTGTCAAAGAATGTAATTTGTTTGCAATAAGGGAATTCTGTACACTAAAACCATGCTTGTGTAATTTTCTCTGCTTTTCCAACAAGGTTGTGTAGACATGGAAGTCAAACGGGTTGCATCCCCTGCAATAGATTTTTTTTGTTGCTTAGATTTGCTGTCACATACATACAGTACAATGCAGTTTATTAGAACATTTCTCAGGTGATGATCCATAAGGATTTGTAGCCCTCTTACTTACAAATCAGTTTGAGGTAAGACAAACGGCAATTTTGTCTGAATCCACAATAATTTGCTGAAATATTTGCAATGTATATAATTCACAAGGGGACTTTTATTTTTTTCCAAAAGTCATCTAACGTTTTGCCTAGGTAGATAAGAAGCCTATGGGGATGATTTACTAAAACCGGAGCATGCAAAATCTTGTGTAGATCTGTATAGAAACCAATTGGTTGCCAGGATTATTGTCAAAGATTAATTGAACAAGCTCTACACTAAGATGCAAATAAAATTTTAGGCATCCCCCTGAAATACTGTAGGAACGTCATTTTTGATAAAATACTCAGCGTTAACTACCACTAAAGATAAGCAGATGCTGCAGCTTTCCTCATTAAAGAAAAAATATATGAAAGTACACTATGTGGTTATAATGGACAAAAAAACCCACCATTTTTCTCTAAAATAACATGGAACTGACCAAAATAGTTGGCATTCATCATTGTTCCATATTTTAAAATAAATCAGACTTGCTTTTTACTTAACAGAATAAATCATTAAAACAAATGAAATTGAGAAAAATGAAGTGACCCTTAACCTAATATTTTAACTGTCTGACAATCATTTCAAGCAAGCAATTTCTTTAGCTCTCAGTGAGACTTTTGTACTTGCCAAAAGATAGTTTGACCCACTTTTCTTGAACTTCCCCAGCTCTCTCAGGTTTAAAGGGTACCTTCTCCAGACTGCATGTTTCAGCTTATTCCATAGATGTTTGATTGGATTTAGACCAGGGCTCTAGAAAGCCACTTTAGAATAGTCCTATGTTTGGTTCTTTAGTAGTTCTTGGCTGCTTTCAGCAGTGTGTGTTTTGGGTCATTATCCTGTTGGGAAGACCCATGACCTGCTACTGAGAGAGGGCTTTCTGACTGGGCAGTAAATTTTGCTCCAGAATTCCTTGATATTTCATAATGCTGTGCACAGATTTAATTTGCAGAGTTTGGAGGTCAAGTCAACACCTCAAACCTGAGGGGGTGTACTTGGTCAGCAACAATGTTTAGATAGGTGGTACATGTCAAGTAAAATCCACATGAATATCAGGACCCTAGCCGAACATTGCCCAAAGCATCACACTGCCACCAACAGCTTGTTTTCGTCCCCAGGTAAGTGACGGACATGCATCGGGCCATCCACATGATGTAAAAAAGAAAAATGTGATTCAACAGACCAGGCCATCTTCCATTGTTTTGATGCTCCACATGCCCATTGTTGGCACTTTGGGCTGTGGACATGGGTCAGCATGAGCACCCTGACCAATCTGCAGCTACACAGCCCCATACATAACAAACTGCGATGCCCATTTTCGCTGCTTTCAGCACATCAACTTCAGGGACAACATGTTTACTTGCTGCCTAATTTATCCCACCAACATTTCCATACCGTTGTAAAGAGAATCAATGTTTTTCACTTAACCTGTCAGTGGTCATAAAGTTATGACTGATCAGTGTAATAGATTTGTAACCTGGACTGTAGCTGATAAATGCTGTGAAATTCTTCCTTGTTTGCTTATGTATTATCCTTCTGCAGTGTGAACAGGGTTAAACTGAATATTCATTACTGCAGAAATGCAGCAGCCATCTTTAAAAGGTTCTTCAGTCCCTTGTGTGAAAAGTCATCAACTACATAAACTATAGTTGCTGACATTTAAAAAAACAGCCACTCACCCGTCAAGGGATTTAGCGCCAAGCTTATCTGAACCACTTTCTTCACTGCTCCTGGCTCCCTGGCATCTTACCTATGGGCAGCAGACTGTGACTGCTTGCAGCTTCACTGCTGGCTGCCCCCTTCGTATTTTTGAGCTGCGTTGTGCTTTGTAAATAGTCCCTTAGTCTCTTGGGATCTGTGATGTACAGAAGGAAAAGAGGGACTGTCTCAGCAGGATTGAAAGAGAGAAATCACAGTAACTCTTTTCCTGTGTGAGGTCTTGAACTGAATCAGAGCATGTCTCCGGAGACCCAGAAGAGGTCACCCTGGATCTGGTAAGAGACGAACACTGTACAGGTTAATCTGTTGTCTGCTGGGAAATGCACTTTCTTCAAGAACCCCAACTTTGCTGGCCAACAGTTTTATATTTGTCTTTCATCAATCATTGGCCAGTAGGATAAAACTGGGACTTTTATAACAAGTTAGAACTGTCTTTTTATACTGTTGCTAGATAAATTCAATTCAGTTCTGTTAATTGTTAGTCAGAACACTACAGATGTTTAATTATATCTCTCATAGTAACATTATTGTCTTATTGATTGTACACTTGCTAATTCTCTCTCCTTTTAGGTTATTCTTGGCCTAATAAATTATTTGAAATGCCTCAAGGTGTGTTTGGTAAATGGTGGGTGAGCACGGTGTTTCGTCTTCAGGTGTGAAGAAAAATCATTGGCTGGGAAGGGGTTAATATCTTGGGGTAATGTAGGGGTTACCTGTGTGCCTTTCAACAGTTAATGTGTGTAGTATGTGCTGATTTTCACTACAGATTGATTTGTTTTGTTCCCTACTTTGCAGGGAAAGAAAGCATTTGCTCCCTCTGTTCAGAGCTCTGTGTTGTTTATCAACACAGGACTGTGAACTGACAGTCGATCAGCAAGTCCCAGCTATGAATCATTGGCTGGGATCTGCTGACAAACTCCCGCTGTGTCATATCGCAGGAGGTTAGGCGGGCGGAGGCACGCGCCCAACCCCGGAAACTGCTTCTGACATACAGGTGCGTTATTGTGCCAAGCTGCCCCGCCACAGTAAATGCAGATTAACCACTTGGTATCCCATC